GCCTTGAAGGAGGGGGCTGGGGGAGGGGGGACCAGAATGTCCGAGAATGTCCCTCCAAGGACAGTGCTGGAGTCAGAGCTCACCACCTGGTGGGCAGGTCAGATCGGTGCAGTTGCTGCATATGTCCACCTAGTGGCAGCAGTTGTAGCCCGAGGCAACAAGCTGACGCTCAGTGGATTCGGCCAATGACCGTATACTGAATGTATGCCGCGCACCTGACCGTCTGGCAGGTCCCATCTGGAAGCTTGCAATTCACCAGCGGCAGCGGCTGCCTGATCTAGAGTATTCCAACTCTAAACTCCAAGTTCAGAGGTTAGGATCTGCCAGAAGCAGGATCGAAGCTTCTAAACAGATTAGGCTATGCACAGTGTAAGGTTCTAGTCTAGGCCAGGGAAGCTAAAACTCAAGAGGAGAAGAAGTTAAAGTGGAAGGAGCCAGTATTCAATGAGAGACCCCAAGGAGAGTAGTGGATATGAGTGACAGTGGGTCAGTCCCACAACCCCAGGCCAAGGAGCGAGTTGGGTCCTCTCCCTTCTACACAAACCAGCCACTGCCAACGGAAGCTGGCTTGGAGAACAGATTTGGCCGTGATCCAGAAGTTTTTTGAAAGGAAAATAATTCGGCGATTGATTTCATAGGCCAGTGTCATCTGACATGTGGCATGCAGACCACTTGGGGCAGTGAAGAGAATCTTAGATGAAACACCTTTTATTTTAATAGCTCAGTATTTATTTGAATGTGTCTTAGAGGAAATAATTTGCTATACAAACCTGTGGTTTCACAGGTGATGTTGGTTTTCTACTTACAAGAGTGATTAAAAATTTCATTTTAAATATTGAGTAAAAATGAGTTCTTTTGAAAAATATTAAGTGCATTATAACACAGGAGATGTTTTACAACAATATGGCACAAATTAAAAAAAAAAAAGATGGTGTATAAACCACTGGAAAGATGGGAAACTACTTTATTCAGCCTGGGTTTGAGGTGGATTGGTTGTAGCCCGGTGAGTTCAGAAAGCCAAGAGAGGTAAGGGAAAGCAGTAGAACTGTCAGGGGGTCTGGATTCCACCTCCCACCTGAACGCCTCGAAGCTGTGTGACACTCACCTCTCTCTGGGTGGTGAAGTCGCTGTTTGAGATGCCAGCCTCCCATAACAATGTGCAGTTTGAGTCCTGGCTCTTCTGGTTCTGATCCAGCTTCCTGCTAATGTGTACTCTGGGAGGCGCAGTGACGTCTCAAAGTCCTTGGGTCCCTGCCATTCATGTCACAGAGCCAGATGGCGTTCCAAGCTCCTGGCTTCAGCCAGCCTGGCCCAATCCTGGCTTTTGAGGGCAACTAGGGAGTGAACCAGAGGATGGAAGATCTTTCTCTTTCCCTGCCTTTCAAATAAAACAAAGATAAGCAAACCTTCTTCTTTTTTAAAAGATGTATTGGGGCTGGTGCTGTGGCATAGTGGGTAAAGCTGCCGCCTGCAGTGCCAGCATCTCATATGGGCACCAGTTTGGGTACTGGCTGCTCCACTTCCAATCCAGCTCTCTGCTATGGCCTGGGGAGGCAGTAGAGGTTGGCCCAAATTCCTGGGCCCCTGCATGCATTTGGGAGACCTGGAAGAAGCTCCTTGCTCCTGGCTTTGGATCGATGCAGCTCCAGCTGTTGTGACCATCTGGGGAGTGAACCAGCAGATGGAAGACCTCTCTTTCTCTCTCTGCCTCTGCCTCTCTGTAACTCTGCCTTATCAAATAAATAAATAAATCTTTTTAAAAAAGTTACAAAAAGAGAGGCAGAGAGAGAGAGAGAGAGAGACAGAGAGGTCGGTCTTCCATCTGCTGGCTTACTCCCCAAATGGCTGCAATGACCAGGGCTGGGCCAGGTCAAAGCTAGGAGCCAGGAGCCTCATCTGGGTCTTTCACGTAGGTGTAGGGACCCAAGCACTTGAACTATCCTCCACTGCTCATAAACAGAGAGCTGGATCGGAAGTGGAGCTGCCAGGACTTAAACTAGTGCCCATATGGGATGCTGGCACTACAGGCGGAGGCTTAACCTTCTACGCTGCAGTGCTGGTCCCAGAACATCTCCTTAAAAATAAAACAAAATGACACTAATGGACTGCTTAGCTCTATTGTTTGATGTTCATTTATTACTGAGATTAAGAACAATCATCGCAGCAGCCAGCACTTGAGGGTCTGCTTTGTGCCAGGCACCGGGCTGGGTACTTTCCGTAATTGATCGTTCTCAGTTCACATAACAACTTCGGAAGGTAAGCACTGTACTGCCCATTCTAGTAGAGGCTGGGAGATGTTAAGTAGCATGTCCAAGGTCACCAAGAACCTGAACTGAATGGACTTAGAGATGACCCCAGAGCCTGTGTGTGCTCCACTGGCTGTGTCCTAGTGGTTAATTCCTATTTGTTCTTCAAAACTAACCTCGAGACCATCTCTTCCAGGAAGGCTTCTTGGACATCATGTCTTCATCTTGTTTAGCTGCCCCCCACCTCTGTGTTCCCTTTATTTTCTACCTGTGCAGTTTTAGATATTTGCCTTTGCATCTCTAGCACCCTACATAACTCTGGGTCCAAAGCAGGTGTCAACAAATGATTGGCAGACAGAGGGAGACTGTGAAGAAGAGGGAGATAGGGAAGAAAGGAGGCGAAAGGCATTGAAACAGAAAACATATGGACACCTTACTAACTGTTAAAGAAGTAAAGTTCAGGTCTCGCACAGGGCCCGAGAGATGCCAGCCCCTCCCCCAGGGGACCGGTCCAAGGTCACCGCATGTGACCACAGGGTGGTGATCAGAAATGCTAACAGGCCGGGAGAGATGCAGGAGGACTCGGTGGAGTGCGCATCCGGGGTGCTGCCGAACCTAACAAAGAAAGCTACATTGCGGCCCCTACCATGAGTACAACCCCACCTGCACTGCATTGTGGGTAGTTAGGTGACACGTGACACTGAGCACCTCACCTACTTCTACCTGGGCCAGGGTGTTAGTTCTTTTATTTGAATCTGGTTAAAAGCAGGAATTCTGCCACAAAGTCAGTTACCTTAGCCTTGCTAAGGGAACACCTCCGTCTCCGAGCCGTCCCTGTGCTCTGTACAGGGTAGTACTGCTCTGCTGTGGCTGTAAAACAATTAGCCAAACACTTCCCATTTGCATTTAGTTTCTATTCCATACGTGTCTGTCCCCTGTGTTTTTTCTCTCTCAAACCGTTCCTTTAAAAAAGAAATGTGTTGGAGATGTGAAAAATAAAAATAAGGAAGTAGAGTTGAGAGGAAGAAGAGCCAGGTGGTTAAGCCTATGAACTCTTTTTTTTTTTTTTTTTTTACAGGCAGAGTGGACAGTGAGAGAGACAGAGAGAAAGGTCTTCCTTTGCCATTGGTTCACCCTCTAATGCCCGCCACGGCTGGTGCGCTGCGGCCGGCGCACCACGCTGATCCGATGGCAGGAGCCAGGTACTTCTCCTGGTCTCCCATGGGGTGCAGGGCCCAAGCACTTGGGCCATCCTCCACTGCACTCCTGGGCCACAGCAGAGAGCTGGCCTGGAAGAGGAGCAACCAGGACAGAATCTGGCGCCCCGACCGGGACTAGAACCCGGTGTGCCGGCGCTGCAAGGCAGAGGATTAGCCTAGTGAGCCTTGGCGCTGGCCCAGCCTATGAACTCTTGAACCAAACCACTCAGCGTTGCCACTTCCCTGGGGGTGTGGCTTGGGGCACGGATGTAATTCCTGTCTTCAGTTGTGTCCTCAATCAGCAGTGTGGCCTTATGGGATCTTGTAAAGATGGCCTGACTCTCGATGGAAAGTGCTCAGAACACTGCCTGGGATGTAGTAAGCAAGTGCTTGATAACTATTGACTATCATTATTTCTGTGGAACAAAAGCGAACAATTTAGCACTATTGTAAAGTGAAAAAAGTAACACCGTCATACACTTGCAGAGCGCCTTCATCTCTCCAGCTCTCATTGTGGAACTGATGCTGGGAACATCCAGGCATTTATGAATGAAGAGAATTGTGGTCATGGGTTGCACGATGATGCACTCTCCTTATGTCTCCAGTCCTGTGGTGGCAGCAGCAAGCACTCCATCTCTGCTCCGGGGACATGTAGAAATGTTGATGCTACAATTGTCACACTCCATTGTATGCGGAATCTAGATTTACTTGTTGCCTATCACCCGCAGTTAAGCTGTGAATTCCTTGAAGGAAAGATTCCTGTTTAATTTCTCTCAGATTTTTAGCAAAGGGGTTGGCAAGAAGTAAATGCTCAATAGATGTTGGCTGCAAGAACATAGTAGGAAAGATGTGCGTACATGACCAATAAAATAATGTGATATTGGGGCCAGCACTGTGGCGTAGCAGGTAAAGCTACCGCATGCAGTGCTGGCATCCCGTATGGGTGCTGGTTCAAGTCCCAGCTACTCCACTTCTAATCTAGCTCTCTGCTGTGGCCTGGGAAAATAGTAGAAGATGGCCCAAGTTCTTGGGCCCCTGCACCCACACAGTAGATCTGGCTCCTGGCTTCGGATCAGTGCAGCTCCAGCCATTGCAGCCATTTGGGGAGTGAACCAGTGGATGGAAGACCTCTCTCTGTCTCTGTCTCTGCCTCTGCCTCTCTGTAACTCTGCCTTTCAAATAAATAAATAAATCTTAAAAAATGTGATATTTAGCATAAAAGAGGCTCAAATCAAGTATGATTATAACTCCAAAAGGAGAGATCACCTCTTGGTAGGAAAAGGCCATAGAACAGAATGGTTAAATCTGTGAACTTGAGAGTCAGACAGTGATTCTGAGGCCTGACTTTGTCATGTGTGAGCTTATGTGATGATGTAGGGATATAACTTAAATTTCTTGAAACCACAATTGAAGCCATGTTGTCCTTATCAGTGGAGGAGGGTGGAAGTCACTGGGAGGACCAAGTGAAATCATGCGTGTAAAGTGTCAGGCTCCCATTATGAGTTTGCAGAGTGGCTAAATGTCATCAGCTCACCATGCTCATTGTCGTCATCAGCGTCAACGTCACTGTGACGGAGGCACTGCTCTCCGGATAGGCAGACCTGGAGAAGAGCACTGGCCAACCAGAAGGTACGAACTCAGGCTCTGTGGGTGTCGGGGGCTCACGGCCCACCGGGAGGGCACATGGCTCCATGTGCTTGCTACGCTGGTCAGTTGCAGGAGAGTAAGGGGTGAGGAAGTTGGGGAGTGGGCCTTCAGTGTCAACCTGAGAAACGTAGCCCTCCTTTGCAGGCCATTCTGAGACTTTACAGGAGTCTACAGAGAATGGTGACTGTGCAGAGGCAGCTGAAGGAGGGGTGTCCTGGCCGTGTTGAGGGCTGGACTGGGGAGGGTGAGGGGTGATGGGAGCAGGTACAGCTCTTCTAACCTGTCCATGGCGAAGTTGAGGCCCCTGTCTGGGATGGTGATGTGGAATGGGGAGAGGGAATGAGCATGTGGGACCATGGGAAGAAGGGACTGAGAGATTTGTATGTATTCGGCTGGATCTGAGAGACAGAGTGAGGTGGCAGACCAATGGGGATTTACCAAACTGGAGAGCCATGGGCATGGTGCTACCAGCCCAAAGAAAGCAGGCACAGGAGAGTTCAGTGTTAGGGGCGAGGTAAGATTGCCTTGGCCTTGCTGAGTTTGAAATGTGGTGGGACATCCAGCTAGGGGGTGATAGCCAAGAGACCCTTGAGAAGTGACCTCAGAGCTCAGACAGGGATGTAGAAGTCACCTGTGCAGGGGCAATAGCTACAGGCATGAAGCTGGATCTCTAAGAGGGGTGAGAGTACATAGAAAAAAAGTTCAGGGATTCATTCTCGGATCAGCGCCTCTCACGGCTGAAGGGAGGGAGAAAAAAAGCTGTGAGGATGGAAGAGGAAGGGAGGTGAAGGACACAATCAGAGAAGCCCAGAGCAGAGCGAGTTTCAAGGAGGGCAGAAGCGCTCCAAGGGATCACAAGCTGCAGAGAAGTTCAGAGAGAGAGAAGGAGACGTGACCGCTGGGTTTGGCCATTGGGAAATCGACGACTTAGGAGACAACACGTGGAGGACGAAACGAGGTCTCAGATGCAGAGGCAGGAAGTGGCGTGGGACAGAACGGAGGTACTGAGAACACACTGTTGGTTCCAAAAGTTCAGGAATGGAGGGACAGAGAGGTGGCAGTGGCTCAGGGTGCGAGCAGAACTGTGCTTGTGGCGGACCACCACCACTCACCAATGCTCCTTCAGAGACCTTCATTTGCCTGTACTTCAAGCAACAGAAGGCAACCCTGGCGGGAGGCAGCCAGGGGAGGGACTGCGGAGCAAACTGGGTTGAGAGGCTACAGCCGTTCTACGGGGATGGAACATGTTATCAGCGCGAGCGAGGGAGCATCTGTCTTACCAGAGACAGCTCATTTATCATGCATCAGCAGACAGAGAGCGAAACGAGAAACTCGCCTTTCCCACTTGGGGAAACAAAGCTTGATCCACGTGCTGGAAAGAAAGGAATAAACAAACAAACAAAAAACAACAAAAACCCCAAAAACAAGTGTGCAATGTCTTCCTTCCTTTGACTCTGCCACCCACAGGGATTTTAGGACAAGGCTGGGTGTGTGTCCTTGGAACCCTCGGACAATGCCATCCACACGCCCAAGCTTAGGGGCCTCCTACCTGCACGGTGCTTCTCATTTTATAAAAAGCTCTCTGGATCTCTTTTATCCCCGCGGAATCCCGGTGAGATACTCCTCTTCTCTGTTTCACAAGGGATGGAGCGGAGGATCAGAAAGAGTGGAAGAGATTTCCCCCGAACTACACAGCCAGGAAGCGGCACAGCCCTGCACTCCCCCTCCCCCCCACCCCTTGCAGGCTTTCAAATACCACCCACAGGGTCTTCATGGGCGACACTCTAGCCACCGTGTGACCAATCAAAGCATGGCAGGACTCTCATCACCCTGGTTTGGGGGCCCTCTAATGCTATCAATAGAGCCTGAACCGACACTGCTGTGGGGCGCTTTTATCAGGTCACGGCTTCCACAGAACAGTGTCCAGTACAGGGCTGAGCTATTTTTCCTCTGCTCCCTTCTCACCCACATCCTAAAGAGCCCTGGGGCAGGAGTTCTGAGCACTGTGTTTCCTGGCTTCCAACTTCTGTCTGCATCAATCAGGCTCTGAAATGCACTGACATGGCCTCAATGCTTACACCTGCTCCAAAAGGCCAGGAGGCAGGAGAGGGACTCCCTCCCCTCCCCTCCCCTCCCCTCCCCTCCCCTCCCCTCCCCTCCCCTCCCATCACTTCCACTCCCCTCCCCTCCCCTCCTTCCTTCTTTTGGTTTTAGTAGGAAGAGGACCAGAGCTGGGGGCTGAAGGGCTCAGTCCCGCTCTAGGACCTTGGTTATATTTATACCATTCAACACCCTGAGCACCAGACTCCTGATCTGAAAAATGAGGATAATAATAGCTGCTTTGTCAGCCTGCTGTAAGGATCCAATGAAACACTTGTGAAAGGAGGGCTGTGTGCGGGGCTCCGTCTCCTGCTGCAGCCCCCTTGAAATTCTCCGTTGTTTTCGAAGGAGTCAGGTGTTTTCCTTTTGCACAGCCTGTCTTTCCTGGATGGACTCGGCCAGGTCACTGAACCATCCTGAGCTCCACCTGGCTGGACTGCGAGGACTGTCCTCAATGCTTCCTTTACTTCACCTATTAGCAAACTTCAGCTCAGCAGAGCGGTCGGTCCCTCCGCCTTGAATCATTTTTCCCATGTGGCTTCCAGGTCGCCACCCTTTTCTGGTTTTCCTCTGCCTCACTGGCTGCTGCGTTGCTGTTTTCTGCCCAGCATGGAGCTCCTGCCCATCTCCAAGCCTGCTCCTCCCAGCCCTCCTTGTGCGCAATCTAACTCCATCCTTCCAGTTGCTCGTACCAAACCCTTGACTCCTTAGTTCTTACCCACATCTGATTTGTAAGTCCCTCCAGCATCTGACCCCTGCCCCACCAGCACCTTCCTCCAAAGCCTTCATCGTCTCCACCTGGACCACTGCAAGAGCCCTCTGATGTTCCCCCTGCTTCCACCTCTGCCTGCATCCTGCACAGGGAGTGGACTGCTCCTTGCAACGTGTAAGCCGGACACATCACTCCCCTGTTCTCCACACCATGACTGTCCCAGGGTAGAAATCCCGACAAGGGCAACAGGCTCCTTCCCCGGACCCATCTCCCTCCCTCGTCCTGTCCTCAGGCCATTCCTTCGATGGTGCTCTCTGCCTGGAATCGCCCCTTTCTCCCCTGCCCCCGCCCCCAGTAATGCTCACCAGTCACCCCATCCGTCAAGCCTTCCCTGACTGCGCCACTTAAAATAGCAGCCACCACCGACCTCCCCCTCACTCTTTATCCCATCGCTCCTGGCTCGGCTTTTCTCCAAAGCACCTGTCACCATCTGAGACATTAATATTTTATTGAGTGGCTTATTGTTTCCTTCACCCCCATGAAAACGTAAGCCCCGTGGGGGCAGGGACTGCCTTGTAACGGCTGTGTCTCCTGCACAGAGGAGCGTGTTGGGAACAGAATGAGTGACAGTCGGAAGAGCTCTGGGACAGAGGATGGCATGCCCGTTGCTAAGTCACAGCAGCATCAGCCACTCCGAGAGCACCAGTCCTTTCCCAGGCTGCACATGCAGGACACTGGCCTTGCACGTGGGGAGGGAAGGCATGTGCAGGGACTCCTGTGGGTCAAGCCTCCCCCAAGAGTGCACTGTAGGGATAGAGCGGTGACTCGGGAGCGGTAGCTGCCCTCTGGGAGTTTGTAATTTAGAGGGGAGTTCCGTGCATAGATGCAAATAACTCTAGAGCAAGGCAGCATTTTAAACAATATCTGCTCCTTTGTGCCCAGCATCTCTCGTTCAGTCTGGTAAAGACTCAAGTTTTCTACAGAGAGAAGAGGCCGTGGCCCATGGCCTTAAAGTGACTCTGGGGCTATGTCTGTCCCAAATTCCCGCGCCCGCCTGCTTATCATGGCAGAGACACCTTGCCCAACTTCCAATCTAGTTTGTTCCATGATGTCTATGCTCGCCTCTCCACCCAATATTGCTTTCAATTGACTGTTAACTTGAAACCCCACCCTCTTAGGAGTTCCTCCACACTGCGCTCCAGATACAGGGCAGGTGGAGCAGGAGTGGAATCAACTTAGAATGGTTGTCACAGGTCGCAAGGAACCTGAAGACTGTGTCTGTGCAATGAAGATGCACCTGCCAGCTCCCAGACGAGCCTGCAGTGCCTGGAGCACAGAGCCTTGCTTAGCAGGTGGCCACAGGGCATTCAAGGAAGTTTTCTGGCTCAAGGGCTCTCTCCCTGGCTCAAGGTCACTGAGTGACAGGAGAATGACAACAAGGAACTCAAACTCTGTAATTCTCTCTACTCAGAGCACGTTGTTAACCCTGCAGTCTCCCAGCTGGGAGACCGGGGTGGGGTTCCTGGCTCCTGGCTTCAGCCTTGCCCAGCCCCGGCTGCCCGTGCAGATGACGTCAAGTGTCCCTTTCTCGCTGAACCATGATCTGCGGGGCCTCCCTGCTGCCTGACCAGGGTGGGTGGCCATGGGGAGAAAGCCTGGTTCCTTTGATTTCTCTTTAATTCCTGGAACATAACATGGTCATTTTTGGTTGTTTTGAGAAATCCTTTCTGATCTTGCACTGGGGTGGATTTCACTAGTCATCTTCAATCACCTGTCTGTGGCTGGGTGAGCAAAAAAGGGCACAAATATGCTCTGAATTCCTAATTTGGCTCCGTAGGTCTATTATCCAAGTCACAGCATAAACTTCAAGGCTTTACATTATTTTGCAACAGAGTAAGGTGAAAAAAAAGTCACAGAGAAGAAATCCACGTAAGATTAATTTCACACACGAGTGTGGCACTCTGCACAATCTTCACAACCATTACTCAAATTTCCACATTCACGAGAACTCGTATGCAGTAGGCAAGACAGCAGTTATTTACTGGTTTTGTTAATGGGGGAAGAGAGTCACAAAGAAGGGCCGTAACTCAGCCCAGCCACTTAACTACATGGAAGCAACACCCTGCCTTCCTTCTACAGGCGGCCACCTCCATCTGTCAAAAGGGACCCCTCCCCCGCCCCCACCACAGCCTGGTTTGGCACAGTCTTGAGGACAGAAGGCATTTGGCATCCTAGAAAGGAATCCATACACTTCCTGGCGGATGCAACCCAATGGCTGCGGTCCTGGGGGCTGTGCGGTGGCCGGCTGTGGCCCAGGGCTCCCTGTGTGCTGGAGGGCGAGGGCTCGGCCCAGCCATTTCCCCTCCTCACACCTGGGCAGTGCGATAAAGAAAGCAAGAATTAGCCGCAGCTGTGGTCCAGCCAGATAACGCTCTAGGCGGGAAGTCAAGTGACAAGCGGGCTTGTGTGCGTGTTTTTTTTTTTTTTTTTTCTTCAGTAAGTGTTAGTTGCTCTTGGTGTTTTAAAAAAGCTTTTAGGCTGCTGGTGGAAGTCAGACCAAATACCAGGACGGCAGTGCAGCAAGATGGATTTGGGAAAGGGCGGATGTCATTCGAAGCCCCATGAGACACCTGACACTCACCGAGGAGAGACCAAGTCTCCAGGTAACGCAAGGGACCTTCACGGGGTGGCTGTGGGTAGGACGGGGCTATGGGCACCTTCCTCTTCCTGCTGGGTCTGGCATAAAGGGGCCATCATTGAGCCTCTTCCTATACTCTTGTGTGGTAAGATTCTAGTGAGCCAGAGGAACTTAAGGTAGCAATAAATGAATTCTTAATATGACATGCACATGAATGAAAGCTAATACTCAACACATGAATGAAAGCTAATACTCAACTTGTAGCAGGACAAGAACGGCCAGCGCTCCTTGGATGGCGTAAGTCTGGTGTAATTTTTCCGGAGGTATTGGCGGTCGGTGGTGAGAACCATGGTAGTGCTTGCTCTTCTGAACCACTGAGCTCTCAGCCCTTGGATCTGTCCTAAAGCAGTGTTTCTCAAAGGGTTTGCCCAAACTCTGGGCCTAGAATGGTGTTTTAGAACTTTTTGTTCCTTGGCATTCTGATTAGCGTTTAATTTAGAATAAAAATTTGAAACACATAAGGCTAAATATACAGGCTTACAAAACAAAAAATTGTACTAAGATCAGCTATTAAAATAAAAATATTGTGTTGGACTGGTGTTGTGGTATAGAGGGTTGAGCTGCTGCCTGTGACGCCGACATCCCCTGAGAGCTCTGGTTCATGTCCTGGCTGCTCCACTTCTGATCCAGCTCCCTGCTAATGCACCGGGGATACCAGCACAAGACGGCCCAAGTGCTTGGGCCCCTGCAGGAGACCTGGGTGAAGCTCCCAGCAAGGGCCATTGGAGCCATCTGGGGAGTGAACCAGTGGATGGAAGATCAATTTCTCTCTCTCTCTCTCCCTCTCTCCTTGTAACTCTGCCTTTCAAATAAATAAATCTTTTTAAAAATATATTATGATAGAATAATACAAAGGGGCTTCAAAAGTTCACGGACAATGGAATTACAAGATATTGTACATGTTCCGTGATCTTTGTGAAGACTCTTGTATTTGTTCTTATTTATAATTGCACTAAATAATAAGATGAAGTGGTGGGTCTACTAATCATAGTATTAAATCAAATAAATCATCCAGTAAGTGATATCTTAAGGTATCTGCAACCACTGTAATGTGATAAGAAAAAAAAATCTGTGATTTCCTTTGGTGTCAAAGTTGTCACCCAGTGCTAAAACCACCGTGATTTGTTAGCTGTGTTCATCACGGAAGAAAATTGGTAAAAAGTTGGTAAAATAAGTTTCACTTTCTCCCTTAAGAATGAGTGGAGCCACCCACAGGGCTCGTTCTATGCTCTGGGCGTCCCAGGGCAGGTCTGCAGCACACCACAGACTCTGGAAGTTCTACTCACAGACCCATTAACTCTCCTCAACCCTGGGCGGCAGCAGAGGCTTTTGCATAGCTCCCTTGCTATTCCCAAGGACTTGGAGAAACACTGTGCTAAGGCAGAGAAATCCGAAATGAAAAAAAAAAATAACAGGATGCAAAGAGTAGACTCGCTGTAGTACTGTTACACAAGGCAGAAAACAACTGGCGACAGCCTAGATGCTCAGTACAAGTGGAGCGGCTGGTGGATGAGGAAAAGGCAGCTAGGCCAAGTATCATGCATCATTGAACTTGAGATTGTGAACATTGTATTGTGGGAAAGTTCTTATAGAACGTGAGGTTGAGAAAGGTAAAGTTGTGGCATGCTCTCTTACAACTCTGAACAGGATAGGGCCTGGTTGGAATGAGGACTAAACATGAAAACAGGTTATCATGATCCGGTAGAACACGCCTGATCTTTCCAAGTACTTGTTCCACAGATAAAATTTATTTTGAAGAAATGCACATGTTAATAGCACGTGCCATGTCTGAATAGGTCTCTGACGTTTTGAACAAAACATTTATGTATTTATTCAAAAGAGTGACAGAGAAAGAGTCAGAGATCTTCCATCTGCTGGTTCACTCCCCAAATGCTCACAGGAGCCGGGGCTGGACCAGGCCAAGGCCAAGGAACTCCATCCTGGTCTCCCACTTGAGTGGCAGGGGTTAAGTACTGGAACCTTCATCTGCTGCTTCCCAGGCACATCAGCAGGGAGCTGGATGGGAGGCAGAGCAGCCAGGGCTTGAACTGGTGCTCCGCTACGGCAGGGAAGAAGCCCAGGCAGTGGCTCGCCTTGGTGTGCCACAATGCCTAGTCCACCTCTGAGTTTTTCATTCAAAGATGTTGTCTGGTTGTCTGCCCCAGGCTCACTGTAGTGCTTCAAGGATAACGAAAACATGGCCGTTGTCCTCAAAACTCTAGGAGAAAAACCCAGCACAGGGAATTCTGCCACTCTGCCACTGATGCCACAGCTCATCATGTTCTCCTATGTTCTTATCCCACAGAAGTCACTGGAACCTGGATTTTGCGAAACAGAGAACAACTCCGGAAAAGAAAAGTGGAAGCACAGGAGAAGCAGACTTTGCAATGGCTGCTGGGGTATGGTCGCCACCAGGGAGAGGGAACGGACCCTTACGGAGCAAATGTGGCACGTCCAGTAGTTCAGGACACTGGCTTGCACTGCATCTCATCTTTTCCACACTCCTGAAAATTGGCCACTGTTATCTCTGTTTTATGAGAAAGGCAAACTAAGTCTCCAATAGATGAAATCTCTCGCCTAAAGCCACACAGCACAGTGGTGGGAACAGAAACTTTAGGCCAGGTGTCTTCTAATTAAAGCACTGGGCAGCTGTCTTACACTGCACAGAGCTCTGGGGTTTCACTACTCTGGACGTCTGGACACACAAGCATCTTGGTGTTGGGTGTGGGAGATATCCTAGAGGAAGCTCCCAAGAGCCTTCTCCAAGTTTCCCATTAGTAAAATCCTTTGTTCAATGAGTGTGATTAACTCTCTGCAGAGTAAACCAAAATGTGGGCTGTATGTGAGTGGCGAAGAATTTGGGAGTTCCGAACTCTCGGACTCATGGCGTGGAGCACAGGAACATGAGTATAAATCAGGTAGCATCTAATTGCTTCCATTTAGAATATGACTGTGACAACAGGGGCCTTGCTTGCTCACAGAGGGAAAAGGGGAAGGCGCAGCATCAAAGACCAGCATTCATTTCAGCTGGAGTTTTCCACCCTGGTGCTATTGATGTCACGGGGAGGCTAGCGGTTTGTCGTGGGACGCTCAGTAGCATTTGCTGGCCTCTAGATGCCCATAGCATCTCTCCACCTCCCACCCTAGTGTGGCAGCCAGAACGTCTCCTGACACTGTCAGGTGTCTTCTCGGGTGTGGTGGGGAGGAGAGAAGCGAATCTCGCCCAGTTGAGAACCAGTGACGTCAGCGCAGCACTCTTCCTGCAAAAGGGCTTTCTCACTCTTCCCTGTCCCACTCCGGGACTGTCTGCTCTGCTCCATCAGCCGTGTCTAGAACACCACTTGGCTTATGAGTGATTGGTAGGTGGGAGAATGATGCCAGGCCAACATGGAAGCTGTGGGTTCATGTGTTTTCCTAGGAAAAAGGAGCCGGAATAGTGGGACGAGAATTTAAACCTTTGGCAGGAAAGGAAAAAGCCTTCAGGCAGGATCCTCTCCAGCCTGCATCCGGGGCTCCCCCGACCCAGAGAAGCGCAGCACCCGCCTTGCCAAGCTCTCCACCAAGTGGCAGCTGGCACTTCCTCTTGCGCTCCCTCGGGTGGCTCAGCGCTCTGGTCTCAGCGTCCGCAAGCCTGCAGTGATGCTGGCTCTTCTGCATTTTTCACTCTCCTCTGAGCCGCCTCCAGCCTCAGCGAGCTGCCTGCCTAGGCCCTCCGCGGTTCCAACGGCTGTTTGCATAGGGGTTTGAGTCTTGCCCCAGGCATCTGTGCTTGGGTCCTGGGGTAGGTGAAGATGAACCAGTGAGCTTCCATAACTCCACACCCGCTAAGCAACCTTCTGGCCAAGACCTGGCTTCCCTAGTGCTTGCCTACAGGAAAAGAGTGCGCTCATTTGCCTGCCCAATGATTCTCTACTGTGTGGCTCTGTTTTTCTCATGGTTGATTTAGGTTTCTCCCTCCAAGCCTGGTTGATGAGCTCTGCCCCTGGTGCATGGAGCTGGTCTCGATGTCCTGCCAGCATTAGTTTGCTAAGCTTATGGGCTGAGGAATTCACTAACTGATGGCACCTTGGTGAGGCCACTGGCTGCACTTGCTCTGGTGGCACTGGGGAGGGTGCCCTCTCTTCTCACCTCAAAATAGCCTATGCAGTGAAACCCTAGTAGTTTCAGAGAGAAGTGGTGGAGTGCCAGCGGAAAGAGCCTTGTTCTTAGAGCCAGAATGAACTGGATTTGAAGCCTGGCTCCCCCATTGCCTACCCATTGACCTTGGCCAAGTTCCTCAACTCCTCTGTGCCTTAGTTTTGGCATCTGCAAAATGGAGATAATAGTATCTCCTGTGTAGGTGGGGAAGATCATTTGAGCTATCAGAAGAAGTAGTACTTGAAGTGTCGTATTTGACACATAGGAAGCACTTGTGTTCCCCATGCTAATATTAGAGGTATGCTTTTATGCCATATTTGAATAATTTATTCATGTAAGTCATGTGTAATTCTTAGACCCACCACGTGAAGTTGGGCAGATGTTATTTGCCTCTCTATACTTATAAATGAGCCATGGCAAGGGGAGGCCAAGTGCCCACAATCTTGAGAGAGTGCATACTCAAGCTTAGGTCATAAACATATACATATACGTGTGTGTGTGTGTGTGTGCGTGCGCTTTATTTATTTATTTGAAAAGTAGAGTTACAGAGAGGCAGAGGCAGAGAGAGAGTGAGAAAGAGAAAGTCTTCCATCCGTTGCTTTACTCCTCAAATGTCCGCAATAGCTGGAGCTGGGCATATCCAAAACCAGGAGCCAGGAGCTTCACCCAGGCCTCTCATGTGGACCATCTTCTCTGCTTTCCCAGGCCACAGCAGAGAGCTGGATCCCACTGGGACTTGAACCAGTACCCAAATGGGATGCTGGCCCTGCAGACGGCAGCTTTACCTGCTATGCCACAGCACTGCCTGGTAGTCAAAAAACTACCAGGGAAGACATGGGCCATTAGATCTCATAGAGAGATCTACATAACTAATTATTTAGTGTTTAATATCTAGAGGGAAAAATAAGTGTTTTCTGAAGAACTCAACTCTCATCTTTTTTTTTGGTAAGCTGGCAATAAGAACTTGGTCATTTATCTCTTGTTACCTTAGTTACTTTGAGTAATAGTTCACAGTGCTGAGTGCATACTCATCATCTTCATATTTCCTGTTTCTCTTCAGCTCTCTTTTTAAAAAGATGTATTTATTTGAAAGGCAGAGTTACAGAGAGAGGGACAGACGGAGAAGGAGAGAAAGTGATCTTCCATCTGCTGGTTCACTCCCAAAATGGCTGCAATGGCTAGGACTGGGCCAGGCTGAATCCAGAAACCTGGAACTCCATCTGGGTCTCCCAAGTGGACAGCAGGGGATCAAGGAGTTGGGCCACCTTCCACTCCTTCTCCCAGAACCATTAGCTGGGAGCTGGATCAGAAGTGGAGAAGCTGGGACACAAACCGGAGCCCATATAGGATTCCAGTGACACAGATGTTGCAGCTTTATCCTGAGTGCCACAATGCTGGCCCCTCAATTTTTAAAATATTTATTTATTTATTTGTAAGGTGGAGTTACAGAGAGAGGGTATGTATGAAATAGAGAGAGAGAGACAGACAGACAGAGTTCTGGTTCACTTCCCAAATACTGCAACAACTGCAGCTTCCCAAGCCAAAGTTAGGAGCCAAGAGTTTCAACCGAGTCTCCCACATGGGTAACGGGCACTTGGGCCATCTTCTGCTGCTTTCCCAGCTGCGTTAGCAGGGAGCTGGATCTCATGTGGAGCAGCCAGGATTCGAAACTGGGCTCTTATGGGGTGTTGGCATCACAGGTAGTGGCTTAACCCACTGTGCAACAACACCAGCCCCTGTCTTTACTTTTTTTTTTTTACTTTTTTTAAAAAATTTTTATTTATTTGAAAGTCAGAGTTACACAGAGAGAAGAGAGGCAGAGAGAGAGAGAGAGAGGTCCTCCATCCAATGGTTCACTCCCCAATTTGCCGCAACGGCTGGAGCTGTGCCGATCCAAAGCCAGGAGCCAGGAGCTTCCTCCAGGTCTCGCACATGGGTGCAGGGGCCCAAGGACTTGGGCCATCTCCTACTGCCTTCCCAGGCCACAGCAGAGAGCTGGATTGGAAGAAGAGCAGCTGGATCTTGAACCAACGCCCATATGGGATGGCAGCACTTCAGGCCAGGGTCCTGTCTTCAATTTTTACTATTTATTTTTTACTGTCCTCTCACATACATATCTTTTTGATATTGACTTCAAATTGGTTTTGGCAAGGTACTCTTTTAAAAAACTTTCTGAGTATGCAAAATTTTTAAGCACAAGAAGTAGAACAGGATACACATGCTTTAAGTGTGCAGGCATGGTGAGCACTATTAAAGGTAGTCGACATACTGATTGTGTCTCCAAAGAATGTCTAGCTTTTGAAAAATATGGCTTCTTCAGAAACGGCTGCAGGATGAGGCGGCCTATGGGCCTTGCCTTCAGCTTGGTCCTCACACTGCTTAGCACAGGAGTGTTAAGAGGGAGAACATTCCAGTCCTGTGGTCTGTTAGAGAAAGCTCCCTGGAGCAGGTAGCACAGAACAGCATTTCAATAGGGTTAGACGAATGATGAAAGGCTTATTTATAGTCCCTTCCTCCCACCCCCCAGCCCATCTGTATTAGCCATCTGTATTTGGTTATATTTGCAGCGCCTAACAATTTGTCATTGGCTGCAACTTCCTTGCAATCCTTTTATCTCCTAGATCTTTTGTCTATTAAGTAGGAGTAGGTAGAACATGGCCTCTTGTGTCTTTCCATGGGGCTCCAGCAATGCTGCAGCTTTGGACTCAGCTTACAGTGTGTACTGTAGCTACTGTGCATTCTTTGTACAAGATACTGTATTAGATAAGCAAGACACGGTGAGGGTATTTCAGAAAGTTTGTGTAAAGTGGAATTCTGAATCTATTTTGGCACACAAAAAAAGAAATCTATGCCTGTAAGGGATCTTCAGAAAGTTCACGGGAAATGTGTATTATGAAAAAACTGCATGACTTTCAAAGTTTTTTACACCAAAATAAGCTTACCTTTCAGTTCCATTTTCCATGACCTTTCTGTGACCTTTCTGAAGTGCCCTCTTACGTCATACATGCAGCCCATGCAACCTGCACGGATGAGGAGCCACGTCTGGGCTGCAGGTCCAGAAATCCATGGGGTCAGTTTACCCAGGGAATAGTGGGCGAATTCACACGGACTAAACCCAAAGAGGCCAGTGTGGAAGCCAGAATGCCAATTTATTAATCTGTAATGGGAGTAATCCGTTTTCCATAACCAAACTGTAAGTAGGAGGGCACTCCAAGAAAGTTCATGGTGGTGGGTGTTTGGCACAGCAGTCAAGTTGCTGCTTGGGATGCAACCATATCCCATTCTGGAGTGCCTAGGTTCAAGTCCCATCTCCGCTTCCAGCTAATGGGCACCCCGGGAGGCAGTAGATGATCGCTCAAATACCAGGGTTCCCGGTGCCCATGTAGGGGAGCTGGATGGAGATCTGGGCTCCTGGCTTCAGCCTGGCCCAGCCCTGACTCTTGCATGCGTTTTGGGAATGAAGCAGTGGAAGGAAGATCTCTCTCTCTCTCTCTGTCTCTCTGACTTTGAAAAAAAAAGTTTGTGGAAAAAGGGAATTAAGGGACTGGTGTTGTGATGCAACAGGTTAGGCTACTGCTTGCAACGCTGCCATCCCATATCAGAGTGCCGGTTTGAGTCTTGGCCGCTCTGCTTCTGATCCGGCTTCCTGCTAATGTGCTTGGGGAGGGGAAGGCAGTGGCAGATGACCCAGGTGCTTGGATTCTTGCTGCCCATGTGGGAGAACAGGATGGAGTTCCCGCCTCCTTGTTTCAGCCTGGTCCCAACCTGGGTGTTGTGGCCACTTGAGGAGTAAACTAGCAAACAGAGGATCTCTCTTTCTCGCTCTGTCTCTCTCCTTGTTTAACTGTTGTTCTGGCTTTCAAATAAATACATAAATTGGGGCCGGTGCTGTGGTGTAGTGGGTAAAGCTGCTGCCTGCAGTGCCGGCATCCCATATGGGTACCGGTTCAAGTCCTGGCTGCTCCATGTCTGATCCAGCTCTCTGCTATGGCCTGGGAAAGCAGTGGAAAATAACCCAAGTCCTTGGGCCCCTGCACCCACATGGGAGACCCAGAAGAAACTCCTGGCTCCTGGCTTGGGATTGGCGCAGATCCCGCCATTGTGGCCAATTGGGGAGTGAACCAGCAGATGGAAGACCTCTCTCTCTGCCTCTCTATCTCTCTGTGTAACTTTGATTTTCAAATGAATAAATAAATCTTTAAAAAAAAAACAAATAAACAGATAAATCTTAAAAAATAACAAAAAACTGGAATTGAAAGATAATTTTATTTGCTGCAAAAGTGTTTTTGAAATTCACACAGTTTTTTCATTGTATGCATTTTTCATGACATTTTTGAAATGCCCTCCTATATGTTGTTACACACACACACACACAAAACTTCACACTTTCTGGAAGGTTCCTGGAGAGCCAGGCGTTAGCGCCACCATGTTCTGGGGTGCATTTGTCGTCCTAACAATTGAGAATGCCTAGCCCTGCTCCTTTGTTTTACAAACAAGGAGACTGCAGCCCAAAGAGATCAGGGACTTGTCCAGGGTTGCCCAACAAGGCTGTTCAGTACAAGCATTTATTTGAATTCTGTAGCCCCATTGCTGACAATCCTATTTCTGATCTCTCCACAGAGAACAGAAAAAACGCAAGTGGCAGAGTACAGGGAAAAGAAATCAAAGAGGCAGAAAGAGACAACAAAATACTAAACAGAAAGGGGAGCCTCAGGTAGAAGCAATGGAGAAAGCACTGGTACCCAAAGAGAAAGAACCGGAGCTTCCTGGAGGCGTGACGGCCTCTCCCCAAGCGGCCTCCCCACAGCAAGTTATGCCTGAGGAGGGTTTTCCTGAAATATGCCAAGAAAGCACAATGGCCCAGGAAAACCCTTCCAAGTACCAAGAAGTAGTGGTACAAAGCCAGCCTTCTGACACCTGCCACGATACAGCCGCCCCTGAAGACGCTTCTCCCCAAATGTGCCCAGAAACAGCTGGACTTCAGCACCACCCTTTCGCAGTGCACCAAGATGTGGCCGAGCCTGAAGACTCTCCTAATGTGTGCCCAGAAAGAGCTGTACTTCAAGTCCACCCTTTCACAGAGCACCAAGATGTGGCCGAGCCTGAAGACTCTCCTAACGTGTGCCCAGAAAGAGCTGTACTTCAAGTCCACCCTTTCACAGTGCACCAAGATGTGGCCGGGCCTGAAGATCTGTCTCCTGGAACGTGCCAAGAGGCAGTCACACCCCAGACTCTTCCTCCTGCACCATCCGAAGGCAGAGCCGGCCTGGAAGGGTGCGCTCCTGAAGCACCCCCCACACCAGATGTGCCCCAGGGCTCTGCCCCTGACACGCACCCCCAAACAGCTGGAGAGCAGTTTGATTCTGAACCAGATCAAGGGATCCCCGACACGGAAGGCTTCTTCCCTACAGCACAGGAGGTAGCTGTGCCCAAAGACCTTTCTACAAAAACACACCAAGGAACAGTGGAACCTGAATATTTTTCTCATAAAACCTGTAAAGAAATTGCTGGGCCTAACACCCCCTTACATGAAACAATCCAAGAAGTACCTGCTTCTGCCATAGATCAAGAACCACCTGGCCTGGCAAAATCTTCACCTGAAGCGTATCAAGAACCACCGGAACCTGCAGAATATTCACCTGAACCAGAGCAGGAACCACCGGAACCTGCAGAATATTCACCTGAACCGGAGCAAGAACCACCAGAACCTGCAGAATACTCACCCGCTATAGACCAAGAAACACCTGGGCCTGAAGACCTGTCTACTAAGACCTACAGAAATAAGGATGTGCCTAAAGAATGCTTTCTAGAACCAAACCAAGAAACAGGTGGGCCCGGCGCTCAGGCTCCTGGGGTATACCAGGAAGATGCTACGGAAGTTTACGCTTTTCCTCAAGGTAGGGCTGTTCACAGATCTCCCTCAGTGATTCGCGGTCTCCTTTGGGGATCCCTCGTTATCTCAATGGATACTATGATATTGGTTAGTTTCAAGTATGAAATATTTTTTATGCAACCAACATCCTACTTGGAATATATCCAAAAAGTTAGGAGAAAACAATTAAAAATGCAAACATGCACAGTAGGTACTAGGATATGTACTTTCCATTTTGAGAAATTACAGTCATTGAAATGAACCTTTAATAAAGGATGAATTTTGGACAAAATATTTTAAAGGACAGTTAAGTGTAGATTAACAAGGAAGCGTGATGAATGAAGTTTTCCTGGGAAATGTGATTTTCTTGATAAACCAAAGGCAAGTAAATTAGGGGGACAAGGTACCAAAGGAAGCACAAAGGTGTAAAACGTTGTCTTATTACTAGGGAAGTCATACTTGTGGGATTTGTCAAGTTTACCAAAACCCCTTTCTATTTCAATATATGTTCTTGGAAGGTTTTTTTTTTTAAGATTTATTTATTTATTTGAAAGTCAGAGTTACACAGAGTGAGAGGAGAGGCAGAGAGAGAGAGAGAGAAGAGAGAGAGAGAGGTCTTCCATCCGATGGTTTACTCCCCAGATGGCCGCAACAGCTGGAGCTGTGCTGATCCGAAGCCAGGAGCCAGGAGCTTCTTCCGGGTCTCCCACGCAGGTGCAGGGGACCAAGGACTTGGGCCATCTTCTACTGCTTTCCCAGGCCATAGCAGAGAGCTGGATCAGAAGAAGAGCAGCTGGGTCTCGAACTGGTACCCATATGGGATGCCGGTGTTTCAAGCCAGGGCTTTAACCCGTTGTGCTATAGTGCCAGCCCCGTTTTTTTTTTTTTTTTTCCTTAAGCATAGCATTTTGAAAATAAGGTGACCCCTCTTTAAGTTGCCTTGCATCAGAGACCTGAGAACCTTGCTTTTCTTTGTTCAATACTGTGGACAGCTAAGAAGTGGGCTGAGCCTATCAGATCATGGTTACCTAAGAAATTGTTTCCTAAAGAAATCCCTTTAGTAGCTTCTTGGCTTTTCCTCCTCAAAGCTGAGAACAACAGAAACATGGTGTGTGTTGGCCTCCAAGTCACATTGTATTCGAGGAATACTTAAATGAAATAAATTATTGTAAAAAGCAGACAAACTTGGGGACAAGTATTTGGCGCAGCAGTTGGGCCCCTGCTTGGCGCACCCACGTCCCATATCCGAGAGCCTGAAGCAAGTCCCAGCTCCTCTGTTTCCCATACAGCTTCCTGCTAGGGCGAACCTGGGAGGCAGCACGCGATGGCTCAAGTCCTTGTGTCCCTGACCCCAACATGGGAGATCTGGATGGAGCTCCTGGCTCCTGGCTTTGGCTATCGTGGGCATTTAGTGAATGAATCAGCAGATGAAAGAGCTCTCTTCTCTCTGTTTCTTTGCCTTTCTGAAAAAAGAAGGAAAAGAAAAGAAAAATTAAAAGAAAGACTATGTGTACAACTGGAGACCCTGCTGGAGAAGCAGCTGTCATGGACACAGTGCCCTGATTTCTAGCAGTGTCCGTCTGAACCCAGCATGGTTCTTATGGGAACTTACTTAGTGCTCATTTTATTTTTGGTTTTGTCTAATCAAACAAATAGGGCTATCTATCTTTGCTGATCATAAATGTTCATTACGATAAACTAAAGTGATGCAAAAGTGTACATAGGGTAGAAGCCCCCTGTAATGGCATCTCCCGTTTCCAATCCCCATGTTAAGGTTTTTTATTTATTTACTTATTTTTGACAGGCAGAGTGGACAGTGAGAGAGAGAGAGAGGAGCCAGGTACTTTTCCTGGTCTCCCATGGGGTGCAGGGCCCAAGCACCTGGGCCATCCTCCACTGCACTCCCGGGCCACAGCAGAGAGCTGGCCTGGAAGAGGGGCAACCGGGACAGAATCCGGCGCCCCAACCGGGACTAGAACCCGGTGTGCCGGCGCTGCCAGGCGGAGGATTAGCCTAGTGAGCCGCAGCACCGGCCTCTTTTGTGTAACTTTTAAAAGTTTATAACATATACAAATGTTGTAGTCATCTTTGTGACTTTTAAAAAAAGATTTATTTATTTGAAAGTCAGATTTTTTATTATTTGACAGGTAGAGTCATAGACAGTGAGAGAGACACAGAGAGAAAGGTCTTCCTTCCATTGGTTCACCCCCCAAATGGCTGCTACAGCTGGCGCTGCACCAATCCGAAGCCAGGAGCCAGGTGCTTCTTCCTGGTCTCCCATGTGGGTACAGGGGCCCAAGCACTTGGGCCATCCTCCACTGCCCTCCTGGGCCACAGCAGAGAGTTGGACTGGAAGAGGAGCCACCGGGACTAGAACCCAGTGCCCATATGGGATGCCGGTGCCACAGGTGGAGGATTAGCCAACTGAGCCACGGCGGGCCCCAAATATTTTATCTAATTTTTAAAATTCAATCCTTATTAGATCAATACAATATCCTCATGTCATGTGTATGTGTGTATATATATATATATATATCATATATGGAAACGGAGGCACTGCAAGTTAAGTTTGTCAGATTATTTCCTTTAGCTCAATCCCTGGAAGCCAAATGGCTGGGTCAGAGGGTGCTGCACGTAAGGCCTGGGTATGTTCAGTTAGACGAGGCTCCAGATATATAGCGATCACATAGCCCAGGAGTCTATAACCACTGTTCGTCCTCCACACGCCTGGCAGCACTGCACTTGAGGGGCATTTTAAAAGCTTTGTATCTCTGCTAGGTTAAAGGAGAAATCCACCCAATTGTTTAAATTTACACTTTTTTGATTTATGCTACTAGGCATCTTTTCCATGGATTTGAATGTTTTTTGAGGATTTCCTGTTTGAAGACTTGTCCCATGTAAAATTTGTGATATTTTCCATCAGTTTTGAAAATTCTCTTGAAAAATCGCTTTTGAAACTTTACCCAAGCATATATTGTAAATATTTTTTCAGTTGTTGTTTATGATTTAGTTATGTTTAGAGTGGGTTTTGCCACATGGGATTTTAATTTTTAGATAGTGAAAATTTCAATCTTTCCCTCTATGGCTTCTGGATTCTATGTCCTACCTAGAACCCTAAGATGAGAAAAACACTATTATTTCTGTATCATTTTATCCTTTAAATCTTTAATCCATCTGCAGTTTGCTTTTATGCATGGTGTGAGGCACAGTATGCCCCCTCCCAAACAGATGGGCAACTGTCCCAATGACATGCATTGAATCTAGTTTTGTGTTTTATTTGCTTTTACAGAAACGAAAGAAAAATCCAAAGAAGTAGCAGCAGAAATAGCAGCAACGCCAAGCATCTCTCAAGAGATTCGTCCAGAAAATGACATCTATAGCTATGTTTTGTTTTAACAATACTCAACGATAAAGTTGCAGTCCAGTGGAACAGTCACCTGAATATTTTGTGTGATTTTTCTCAAAATATTGTAGCCATTTCTATATTTTAATTTACCCCTTTTCCATATCTGACCATAGCTTAAAGAGATAACTAACTTTTTTTTTTAGCTCCTCCGCATAGACAATCTCTGGCTTTGTGCATGTGTGTGTGTGTGTGTGTGTTTATATGTGTGTGTATGAATGGTGGGTGGGTAGAGGTAGGAAGAGACAACTAAGGGAAGGGAAAGGACTGAATCATTGTGTTTTTTTTCCCTCTGAGAACAAGCATTTATTTAATTCTTAAGAGCAGGTAAGTGAGTAAGTCTGAAAACTTAAAATTTGGGGAGTTTACCGTTTTCTTGTATACTTTACTCAGTTATTAATGTAACAATAACATTAGGCTATAGTTGGCTCTTTTAGTTAAGAATTCTCATTCTGGGGCTCCTGAAAAGATATTTTGGAGGGATGAAAAAATGGAGTTTACTTTTGTGTTTGAACTTTGATTTCTTATTTTTACCTTTTAAATATTGCATATGTGCAAAATGTACATTAAATCATTATTACATGTTTACCTGTGTGGACAGCATCATGTCAAACATGGGGGCAGGTGAGCAGGCCTACACAGCACATGGCCCTTGCCCACGAGCAGTTAATCTGTTCTCATGGGGGAATAAAGCGGACAATGAATAATTGTGAAAGAAAATAGCACATGCTAGTGCCATCTGAACAGTAGATGTATTAGCAGAAATGCTCACTTCTTGCTGGAATGACCTAGAGAATTCCACGTGAGGGAAGCCTTGCAAGATGGAGAGGATTGGTGTAGGTGAGGGCGACAGCAGCATTGCTGTATGTGACACAGAGAAGGGGCGTGTTCAAGACATGCTCAAGAGAACTGCACGTTAACCACAGTCAATGCTGTGTGCCTATGGAATAGCAGGCATGCATGCTATGAGTTTTTTAGTGGACAGCTGATCTATTATAGAATGCAGAGAATTTTGCACACCCAGCAAAGAAGTGTATCACTTGTTAGGCAACAGGGAACTAAGGAAGACTTTGGAATGATGGAGTGGCAGTTTTAGTATTTGAGGATATTCATCTGGTGATAACGGACAAGATGAACTGAGAATGGCAAGAGACTGGGGACCGAGTGTGTGTGTGGTGGTGGGGGGACAGGAAACACAACTGTTTAGGAGAGGAGGGCATCTGAAAACCTCCCCTGCTATTTTGCTTGTTTGCAGTTTTCTTTCTGCTACTGCAGAGGACTGAAAAGAAAGGTTTTTGCAAATCAAGGTTCATTCAGCAATTACCCAAGCTCCCCGCCGCAGGCTTTGTGCTAGGTCCTAGGCAACACTAAAGAACAAGACAGGAACCCAGTTCCTCCGGCACTTGTGGTACAGAGCAGGCGTTCTCTCAACCCTCACAGCACAGTAGAAGCACAGGGGAGGATTTTGAATATATGGAAGCCTGGATGCTTCCCCTGGGAACTTTTTTTCATTTTAAAATTTATTCATTTAAAAGGCCAACTCAAACAGACCACATATGTCCCATCCACTGAGTCGTTCCCCAAATGCCTGCAATGTGTAACAGCTGGGGCTGGCCAGGGCCAGGCTGGCACAGGGAATCAGGAATGCAATCCAGGTCTTCCACGTGGGTGGCGGGAATTCAATGACTCTCACTCTGCTTTAGCAAGAACCCTGGAGGCAGGAACCAGAGCAGGGCATCAAACCCAGGTACTTTGATGTGGGACTCATGGCATCTTAACTGCTAGACTAAACACACGCCCCCCCCCCCCCATCATCCATCTCTATTTTCATGTCATTTGAAAGGCAGAGAGACAGAGATATTCCATCTGCTGGTCCATGCCCTCAAATGCCTGCAATAGCCAGAGCTGGGCCAGGCTGAAGCCAATAGCCAGGAACTCCCACGTAGGAGGCAGGGACCCCAGTACTTGAGCCGTCATCTGCTGCCTCCTGCGGAACAACATGAGTGAGCTGGGTAGGAAGCAGAGTAGCTGAGACTCCAAAGCAGCTGCTCCAATATGGGCATCCCAAGCAGCAACTTACCCGCCATGCCAAACACCCACCCCCTAATAGTCCATCTTTGGAACACTTCCTGTCTTCATTTCATCTGCCAGAATGGGTTAGAGAAAGTCAACTGGAATCTCAAGTTCTATCAGTGCTGTGTGAAGATGAACTCAGTCCAGGGAACTAAGATCCAAGGGCTGCGGAAGGAGCTGGCAGAGGAATGTAGTCTATTCCCTCTGCCTTTAAGGGTCCTTCTGCTTGCACCCTGTGCACACACAACCTCTGCTCTCGCCGTTCTCATTCAAGCACCAATGTGCAGCTAATTTTTTTTTCTTTTTTAGTGACCTTGGCTTAGAACTTTGAGGTCCCAGTCAGAATTAAAGTTCTGCTAGAATCCATTTAGGGCTGTGTGGTGCTGCCCTCTTGGAAATTCATGAGCTCTGTTTACGTCCAAAATGATGTGTGAGAGGTGCCAGGGGTTAATTCTAATAAGCATTCTTCACCTAAAAGAATCACTTTTCTGAGAAGTGTTTTTCAAAGTACTGCAGGCTAAGGACCACCTGTTTGAGAGTCATTTAGCTCTTTATAGATTTACTTGTTTATTTGAAAGAATGAGAAAGAGGGAGAGAGACAGAGATATCTTCCATCTGCTGGTTCACCTCCCCCAAATGGCTGCAAAATCGCGGGCTGAGCCAGACGGAAGCCAGGATCTTCATCCAGGTCTCCTATGTGGGTGGCAGGGGCCCAGGTATTTGGGCCATCTTCTGCTGCTTTCCCAGGATCATTAGCAGGAAGCTGGATCAGAAGCAGAGCAGCCAGGTTTCCAGCCAGCATTTGGATATAGGATGCTAGGGTCCACAAGTAGTGGCTTAACCTGCTGTGCCACAACACAACTCCTTAGTTTTGTTTTCAAAAGGCATATTCCTAGGTCTTAGCTCCAGAGAAAGGGTTAAGTTCTACAAACTAGAAATAATTAGGGGTTGGCATTGTGGCATGTGGTTAAAGCCACTGCCTGCAATGCTGGCATCTCTTATGGGCAGCAGTTTGTGTCCTGGCTGCTCCACTTCCAATCTAGCTCCCTGCTAACGGCACAGGAAAACCAGCACAGGATGGCCCAAGTGTTTGGGCTCCTGCATCCATGTGAGAGACCCAGATGAAGCTCCTGGCTCCTGGCTTCCACTTGGCCCAGTGCTGCCTGTTGAGACCATCTGGGGAGTGAACCAGCAAATGTAAGATCCATCTCTGTAACTCTTTTGAATAATAAAATATAAATCTTTAAAAAAGAAATAACCATAAAACCACCAGGAAAATGAACACCTCATAGAAAATAATAAAAGTGTTGCATATTTAAGTTCCTGTTTTAAGAGAAATCTTACCTTTAAGAGGTAGCAATGTCCTTCATTAGTGTCTGCTTTGCACATCCGTATTGTCAGAGTTGGTATGACCATCAAATGCCTACATGCCCTCCAGCAGGGTAACTTGCTGGGACACTGGTTTTCCCACAGTGCAGCCCAACTAACACTCTCAGCAACAGCACCACCTAGTGCCAGGTGCAGCTACTCCCACTCAGTGTGGATAAACCCCATGGTTCCCAAACCTGTTTGTCCAGCCGGGCAGAACTGTTGCTTCTTTTCCAAGTTGTCATGTAGAAAGACCTGCTAGAGGACGCTATTTAATTTGATCAATTAAAAACATTTCCTCTTTTAATCTGTGGTTCTTTTGTTGTTGTTAAGATTTATTTATTTACTTGAAAGGCAGAGTTAGAACGAGGGAGAGAGACCGAAGGAGATAGAGTGTGTCCATCCACTGGTTTACGCCCCAAATGGCCACAATGGCTGAGGCTGGTCCAGGAGGAAGCCAGGGGTCCAGAACTCCAACTGGGTCTCCCACGGGCTGCAGGGGCCCAAGCACTAGGGCTGTCTTCCACTGCTTTCCCAGGTACGTTAGCAGGGAGCTGATTCCCAAGCGGTGTGGGGAGGAGCGCTCGTGTGCATGGGATGCTGGCAGGTGGTAGCCTAACCCGCTGCACCATAAGGCCAGCCCTTCTGCTGGATAGTTTCTTCTGAAGATCTACTAGCCGATGACAAATGAACAGACTGAGAAACAGCTTTTCATGATTGTTAAGCTCTTAAATCTGTGGCCTGGTATGCTTTTGGATATTTTACATTGCAGGAAATATAAAGGTCTTTTTTTCCACTCCAGAAGCAGAAGGATAAAAGGTCCAGAAACAGAATTAAGTACGTAGAGGAACTTGATGTAGCCGAGAAAAGACGTCACAAGTGGGTACAGGACGGGCCGTGGGTGTAGGGGACGAAAAGCCAATTCTCGCTGGGCCTCGACCCCCAGAATCCCCCCAAAGGACCTGCTCCGCTGACTCCCTTCACTCTCACTTCAGAACTGAAGGGTAGGAACACGGGGTTCCTTCCTGACCAAACACTTTTAGTAAGGAAAAATCGGCGCATATGCAAGGGTAATCATCTCTGTATTCCCACCACCCAAGGAGAATTATTATATTTCCTAACATCTGGTCCTTCTGCTATGTGGTATCTACACACAGAATTTTCTCTAACCATTAGGGTCATTCATTGAACATGTGGGTTGCCCGTGACTGTTTCCAGAGAGCCATCTTTGCGCCGCCCCCCGACCCCGGAAAGCGCGGGAACTCAGAGCCAGGATTCCCCGAGAGGACGTGACCGCAGCGGAGTGCGAGACGTGGGTCTGAAAAATAAAACGCAAGCGAAAGGCTCTCGGGGCCGCCAGTATCGCCGGCGGTCCGCGACGCCGCCCACAGCGCGCGCCCCCTCCCGGCGCCTGCACTGCTCCTGCGCCACCCGGCGGGCGCCGCTACTGCGCAGGCGCCAGACCCGGAGAGCGGAAGCGGAAGCTTTGGCGCGTCGGGTGGGCACCCCGCCTCCGCCATCAGTAGCCATGCGCGGCGAGGAGGAGCCAGGGCCTGGGCGTACAGCGACCCCGTGCGGGTGCGTGAAGCCCGCCCTAGAGACAGGTAACGTGTAAGAACCTAGCAGTGCCGCTTGGAGGGAAGGCCTAGGTCCAGGCAGGCGACTTCATTGCTGAGAGGGGTGTGCGATGCAAGGTCTTGCACCGACATGCGTCATTCCCCTACTTCGGGCAAAGGCGCAGTCACGTGCTGCGGCCACCACGTGACGAGTTGAGGCGGGCGTGATGGCGTCATCGCGCGTTTTCGGGTCTCGGTGGAAGAACACGCGCGCGTACTGGCTGCCTGGTCCTGGCTGTTGGCTTTGACGGCCGCGTGCGATGTAGTGAGCTCTCTTAGGGAGTGCTTCCTGCTGTAGACGACTTCTTCTGTGTACAGCTGGCCGATTAGGAGTTAATAATAAATGCCCCGTGATGTGTGGAGAGAGGCTGTGAGTTGGAACTGGACCTTGGAAGATAGGCATGAGTTTTGCTTGTTTCCGCCTCTTTATAGAGAGAACAGAAACTAGAGGACACAAATGGAAGAAAATAAAAATAGCCTGCCCTCACCCAGAAAAGAACGCTGTTAAAATCTTGGTGTCTGCTTGTCATGTTTGTTTCATTGTATGCAGACTAGAAACAGGTGATATGTCACTCCACCGTTTATTTTCTTAAATCTAAATTTCATATATATTTTTTTAAGATTTATTTATTTACTTGAAAGAGTTATACAGAGAGAGGAGAGGCAGAGAAAGAGAGAGAGGTCTTCCATCTGATGGTTCACTCCCCAGTTGTCCACAACTGTGGGAGCTGCGCTGATCTGGAGCCAGGAGCCAGGAGCTTTTTCTGGGTCTCCCAAGCAGGTGCAGGGGCCCAAGGACTTGGGCCATCTTCTGCTGCTTTCTCAGGCCACAGCAGAGAGCTGGATCAGAAGTGGAGCAGCCGGGACTAGAACTGGAACCCATATGGGATACCGGCGCTTCCGGCCAGGGCGGTAACACAGCGCCGGCCCCCTCATTTCTTTACATGGCAATTAATTTTACGGGCTTGCATGTTGTTTTGCTTTAGAAATGGGCCTGTAATTTAGCTTATGTCCTGTTGGACATTTAGGTTATGGACAATTTTCAGTGTTTTAAATGTTCTTGAAACTGAAATCTCTGTGTGTGCACTGAGTGTTGGAACCTAAGCTGCATTTTGTTGAAGTGCTATTATCTGGTCAGTGTTGGGCTCATTTTAAAAAATGGTTGCGTGTGGGGTGGGTGCAGTGGCACAGCGGGTAAAGCTGCCACCTGCAATGCTGGCATTTTTTATGGGCTCCGGTTCAAGTCCCAGCTGCTCCATTTCTGATCCAGCTCTCTGCTATGGCCTGGGAAAGCAGTAGAAGACGGCCCAAGTCCTTGGGCCCCTGCACCTGCATGGGAGACCCAGAAGAAGCTCCTGGTTCCTGGTTTCGGATTGACCCAGCTCCAGCTGCTGCGGCCATGTGGGAAGTGAACCAGCAGATAGAAGACCCCTCTCTCTCTCTGCCTCTCTGTATCTCTGCCTTTCAAAAAATAAAGTAAAAAAATAAAACGCTTGCTTGCTGCCAGCTTACAAGTATAATATTTTGACAGGCAGGAGAGAGCTGAAGCCAGGGCTCAGAGTTCTGCAGAGTGTTGGGGAGCCAGAAGTCTCAAGTGTTGGGTGGAATAGGGGGGTGAATCCTTTCGGATTCTGGAGCACCTTGGAAACCACGCCAGTAGTTGTGACATGGAAAGTTTAAAGGTGGACAGTAGCATGAAGACTAGGAGGTTTGAGGATTGGTCTGGTGTGTTTTGACCTGAAGCTGGGCAGTGAAATATTGAATAGCCCCGACAGAACTGAGAAGGACTGGGACTTTCAGAGCAAGATGGGTAGGTAAGCCTGTGTGCATACAACTCTGGATTCGTAACTTGCTGGCTTTTATTTTTTTTTTAGAAATTAAATTTTTTTCGAAGATTTTATTTATTTATTTGAAAGGCAGAGTTGGAGAGAGAGAGAGAGAGAGAGAAGTCTTCTATCTTCTGGTTCACTCCCCAAATGGCTGTAACAGCCAGAGCTGGACTGATCAGAAGCCAGGAGCTTCTTCCGTGTCTCCCACATGGGTACATGGTCCCAAGGACTTGGGCTATCTTCTGCTGCTTTCCCAGGCCACAGCAGAGAGCTGGATCAGAAGTGGAGCAGCCAGGACTTGCACCGGTGCCCATATGGATGGGATGCTGTCACTGCAGGCGGCGGCGGCTTTACTCGCTACACCACAGGGCCAGTCCTGCCAGCTTTTTATTACTTAGTTAGTGTAGTTAAAAATGGGGAAAAGCCTGAACAAAAACTTCAGAAACCTGTCCTTGCTGAGCACCTTCTATTGTAAGAGTCTTGGATGCTCACATATTTTATTCATACTCTTACAAGTTTCCAAGGTGGGTATCATTTTCCTTGCTTCATGGATGAGGAAACCAAGATTCAGAGAGAGAAGCTAGCTTTGCCCGGGGTCACACAGTGTGGGTGGCCCTAGGTTTGCAGTCCTTTATCTGTTACCACACCCAACCCCCTAGCCCCCCACTCCCTCTTTCCATGAGATTCTCCTGCTGCTGCTGCCCTGGCACCTCCGCTCTCACACAGGAGACCTTTGCGAGGCCTGTCCACTTCCTGTCCGTCTCTCAGGACACTGGAAGCCCTTGAGTGGAGGAGCTGGTTCTTGTTTATCTCTCGGGCTTGAGCACTTAGCACAGGACTTACCAAATTTTAGGGGCTTGCTGTTTTTTGTTTGGTTGGTTTTTTTGAGACAGAAGGCAAGAGAAGGAAGGTAGAAATTCTGGGTGGACAGTATCAAGTTTCTACTGCAAAGAGTAAGATACATATTTGAAAATTATTGGGCACTTATATTTCAAAGCATGTATTATTCCAAAAAGGAGTGCACAGAGAACAGAGTTAGGTTCCAGAAGCATTCAGACTTGCTAGAATGTGGATGGTTGGTATTTTGGGAGTGGTCCCTACATTTCAGAGGGACCCAGGAGGAGGAAGTCCTACAGAGTAGCTCCTGAGTTTGCTTCCAGTTCATTGTCATCCCAGTGTTGTCTTGCTCAGGTTCTTTTTTTTGGGGGGAGGGGGATCTTTTTTTTTAAATATTTTATTTATTTGACAGGCAGAGTTACAGAGAGAGGTAGATACAGAGGAAGAGAGGGAAAGAGAGAGGTCTTCCATGTACTGGTTCACTCCCCAAATGGCTGCAACGGCCAGAGCTGTGCCGATCCGAAACCTGGAGCCGAGAGCTTCTTCCAGGTCTCCCACGTGGGTACTTGAGCCATCTTCCACAGTTTCCCAGGCCATAGCAGAGAGCTAGATCTGAAGTGGAGCATCTGGGACTCAAACCAGTGCCCATATGGCTTTCTGGCATTGCAGGTGGCGGCTTTACCCGCTACACTACAACACCAGCCCTTCATGTAATCTTTAAATTGTTAAAAATTTTATTTGGAGGGGCCGGCGCTGTGGTGTAGTGGGTGAAGCTACCGCCTGCAGCGCTGGCATCCCATATGGGTGCCGGTTCGAGTCCCGGCTGCTCCACTTGCAATCAAGCTCTCTGCTATGGCCTGGGAAAGCAGTCGAAGATGGCACCCATGTGGGAGACCTGGAAGAGGCACCTGGCATCTGGCTTCGGATTGGCACAGCTCTGGCTGTTATAGTCAATTGGGGAGTGAACCAGAGGATGGAAGATCTCTCTGTCTCTCCTTCTCCCTCCCTCCCTCCCTCCCTCCCTCCCTCCCTCCCTCCCTCCCTCCCTCTCTCCCTCCCTCCCTCTTTCTCTCTCTCTGTCTAACTCTGCCTTTCAATAAATAAATCTTAAAATTTTTTTATTTGGAAGGCAGAGAAACAGATAGGCAGACACAGAGGGATCTCCCATGCACTAATTCACTCCTCAAATCCTGCAACAGCCAGAGCTGGGCCAGGCTGAAGCCAGGAGTGGGGAACTCAGTTCAGGTCTCCCATGTGAGTGGCGGGGAGCTGAGTGGTTGCGCCGTGTCCTGCTGCGTCCCAGTCAGTGTGTGTTAGCAGGAGGCTGGAAATGTGACTGGAGCTGGGGCTGGAACCCAGGTGCTCTGATACAGGGTGTGAGCCTCCCAAGCAGCATCTTAATGACTTTGCCAACCACTAACCCCTGACATGTTATATGTATCAAATAATACTGTGTAAACCAATGAGAGGTAGTGTGAGGGACAGCCCCAGACTGACAAGTCCTACTGCTTGTGCTGATAGATTGAATAGAAAATAGAAAGAAAATGAAGGTTTAGAATGTGTATCATCTTTTCTAAGATTTATTTTATTTATTTGAAAGGCAGAGTTACAGAGAGAGGTGGAGACAGAGAGAGAGAAAGCAGTCTTCCATCTGTTGGTTCACTCCCCAAATGGCCGCAATGTCTAGGGCTGGGCCAGGCTGAAACCAGGAGCCAGGAGCTTCTTCCAGGTCTCCTATGTGGGTGCAGGGGCCCAAGTGCTTGGGCCTTCCTCAATTCCTTTCTCGTGCACATTAGCAGGGAGCTGGATCAGAAGTGGAGCAGCCGGGACTTGAACTAGTGCCCATGTGGGATGCTGGCGCTGCAAGCTAGGGCTTTAACCTGCTGTGCCACAATGTTCGGCCAAATGTATATTATCTCTTAAAAGAAGTTAGTGAAACTGTCATGAAATGTGAACAAAATTATAAATTGAAAATGGAAGTCATGGAGAACTTGGGCTTGAAACTTACTAGAAAGGCATTACTGGTTGTGGGTTTTTTTGTTTTGTTTTTTTACTGATTTTGTTTATCACAGAAACTTTTTAATAAAGATTTATTTATTTATTTATTTGAAGGCAGAGTTGGAGGGGGAGAGGGAAAGAGAGAGAGAGAGAGAAAGAGAGATCATCCATCTGCTGGTTCACTCCCCAAATGGCTGCAATGGCCAGGGCTGGGCTCGGACAAAGCCAGGAGCCCGGAACTCCATCTGAGTCTCTCCTGTGGGTGGCACAAGCCTAAGTACTTGGGCCATCTTCTGCATATTTTCCAGGCTCATTAGCAGGGAGCTGGATCAGAAATAGAGCAGCTGGGACTCAAATCAGCACCCATTTGGGATACCAGTGTCACAGGCAGCAGCTTAACCCACTGAGCCACAACGCTGGCCCCTAATTGCAAAAAGGTTGATAAATGTTCTTCCAGGTAGCTTTTGGACATACGTATATACATAACTTAGGAAAATATATAAACACATTTTCATAACTGAGATGAGGCTGTCCATACTGTTCTGTAATCAGTTTAGCGTTACATACTCCCCTCTCCCCAAGCAACATACAGAATGTTACTACTTAGAGGCAGGGCACTAGACAATGGGACTAGAGCAGTAAGCAAGACAAAAGCTCATGCCCACGTGGAGTGTACATCCCGAGAGCAGAGCGCTCCTGCACGTAGCCTGACCTGGCATGTGTCCTGCCTCTGGATGTTTTAGCAGTGAGCTCCTGGAACCCCCTTTGTTGCTCAGCGTGGTGTATTTCATATGTCCTGCGGCTTCCTATTGGAAACATCCGTTTACTTGTATCCAGCCGTTGTCTCCTCCTGACCTTCATTGTTTTCTGTCTCATACTTCGTACTTCATCCAAACAGCTTGTGCCCTGTGAATGCCATGACGTTTGTCTTTTAGTTTTGTGTACTTTGTCTTGGCTTTGGCCAAAGTGACATAGCTTGGTAATCGCAGCGTGAAGTTCAATTGTAGTCATGGTAGGTCCTTTTAAATGTTCCCTCCCCTCTGCCGTTCCTCTTCCTTCCCGTTTCCTTCCCATTATTCTTTCTGAGTCATCTAGAGGGATGTAACCATGTGTCTGTAATGATGAGGATACTTTTACGTATTCATGAACACTATAAATTAATCACTTTTTTAAAATAAAAAGGTTTACTTTGAAACTCCACGTATGAAATGTGGAGCTAGAGGGAGAGAGAGAGAGATCTTCCATCTGCTGGTTCATGCCCCAAATGGCCACAATGGCCAGGGCTGGTGCAGGTCAAAGCCAGGAGCCTGGAACTCCATCTGGGTCTTCAGTGTGGGTGTAGGGGCCCAAGCACTTGGGCCATCTTCTGCTGCCTTCCCTGGTGCATTAGCAGGGGCTGGATCGAAAGTGGAGCAGCCAGGACTTGAACAGGCACCCATATGGGATGCCAGTGCTACAGGTGGTGGCTTAAGCTGTTGTGCTATAACACTGGTCCCAAAATAAGCACTTTTAATAGTTGCATAATACCTGGTAGTCTTTACAACTGTGCAGAGAGAAAACATGTTTTCTTGTGTCTTTGACCTTTCTACTAATGATTCCTTCCCTAATTTTCTTCTGTAGGGAATCTTTTAACTGAGCCAATAGGCTACTTGGAATCCTGTTTCTTGGCCAAGAATGGTACTCCAAGGCAGCCATCCATTTGCAGCCATTCACGGGCCTGCCTGAAGATCAGAAAGAGTGTCTTCAACAATCCTGAGCACTCCTTGATGGGCCTAGAGCACTTTTCTCATGTTTGGTAAGATGTTTCGGACCAGAACTTGCCCCTAATAAAGTACTTCAGTTGACAGCAACCTTGGAGTCTGCGTCCAGGCCACCCTTGTCTATCGTGTGGGATTTCCGTGCCGTATTTGTGTGTGTGATTGCATACTTTGGAGACCCTCAAGGAAGCTTGGGATCCGTGGATGGGGCGTGTTTCATTTAGACTTGGTTGTAATTGTGATGAGGCTGTGCAGCTGGAACTGGCCCTGTCTCTGCCGGTGGGTCATCCCAGTGCCCTGCAGACCAGGAACCATCAAACGAGGCCCAGAGAGCAAATGTGGCTGAGTGCCTGTGCTGTAAATCAGGTTTACTGGAGCACAGGGGCTTACTGCCCCTTCCTTTGTCTTGTCCCTGGCTGCTTTGGTGCCGCCACACAGGCAGAGTTGAGTAATTGGAACAGTGACTGGCGGGCCTGCAGATGCTAGATAGCGACTGTCTGATCCTTCACTGAGAATGCTTGCAGGCCCTGCCCCAGACCCATGAGGATTAAGTCTACTCTTCCTAGAAGACAGGAGACCCTAGGAACCTAGACATTTTCAGTAAAGTGTTAGCTGCCCTTGGGCCGCTGTTACACTGGCGTCCCTTGGAATCCTGTCTCCATCTGTCCTCCTCAACTTCAATGTCAGCAGTCGGAACTGCTGTAAGTTAGTTCTTGGATACCTCACTTTTAGTGTTTATTCTGAAATAGGGTGTTTTCTGTTAATTTAGAGACATAAGTAGATTGGAAAAACATAGGTATTCTGACCTAGCTGGTATGATTTTGGTTGAATTCTGTAAAGTAAAGACATTGTTGATGTAAAAAATGGATTCAGAAGTATGTAAAGAGGTTTTTTTTTTTTTTTTTTTTTTTTGACAGGCAGAGTGGACAGTGAGAGAGAGAGACAGAGAGAAAGGTCTTCCTTTGCCATTGGTTCACCCTCTAATGCTGCCGCGGCCGGCGCGCTGCGGCCGGCGTGCCGTGCTGATCCGAAGGCAGGAGCCAGGTGCTTCTCCTGGTCTCCCATGGGGTGCAGGGCCCAAGCACTTGGGCCATCCTCTGCTGCACTCCGGGGCCACAGCAGAGAGCTGGCCTGGAAGAGGGGCAACGGGGACAGAATCTGGTGCCCCAACTGGGACTAGAACCTGGTGTGCTGGCGCCGCTAGGCAGAGGATTAGCCTAGTGAGCTACGGCGCCGGCCTAAACAGGTTTTTATTCTTTGTTTTCTTGTTTGTTTTCTCTCTCTTGCCTTCTTTCTCCAACACTCTTTTCCCTTTTTTTTTTTCTTTTTAAATACACATAGAAGTATGAATACACACATATTCTTAAGAATGGAATATGTTTTCTTCATTAATAGTATGTATCATGCAGAACTTTTATGTCAATACATGTGGGTTGACCTGTTTTTTATTTTTTAAATTTATTTTCTTTATTTGAAAGGCAGAGTTACAAAGAGAGAAGGAAAGACAGAGAAAGAGATCTTCCACCCCAGGTTCACTCCTCAAATGGCCACAATGGCAGGGCTGGGCCAGGCTGAAGCCAGAAGCCAGGAACCAGGAGCTTCTTCTGGGTCTCTCATGTGGGTGCAGGAACCCAAGCACTTGGGTCATCTTCTACTGCTTTCCCAGGCCATAGCAGGGAGCTGGCTCAGAAGTGGAGCAGCCAGACTTTAACCGATGCACTGCAGGTGGAGGCTTAACCTGCTATGCCACAGCGCTGGCCCCTGTTGACCTGTTTTTTTTAAAAAAAGCGTTGCCTTTTTTTAAAAAAATTAATTAATTAATTTGGAAGATAAGTTACAGACAAAGAGAGGGAGAGATAGTGAGAAAGGTCTTCCATCTGCTGGTTCACCCCTCAAATGGCCCAAACGGTTGGAGCTGAGCCAATCCAAAGCCAGGAGTCAGGAGCATCTTCCAAGTCTCCCAGGTGGGTACAGGGGCCCAAGCACTTGGACCACCTTCTACTGCTTTCCCAGGCCATAAGCAGAGAATTTGATCCAAAGAGGGGCAGCCAGGACTTGAACCGGCACCAATATGAGATGCCGGTGCTGCAGGCAGAGGCCTAGCCCACTATGCTACAGTGCCAGCCCCTCCTTTTTTAAAAAAAAATTTATTTGAAAGGCAGAGTTATAGAGAGGGAGAAACAGAGAAGGAGAGAGATCTTCCATCCACTGATTCACTCCTCAGATGACCTTAATGGCAAGGCCTGAGCCAGGCCAAAACCAGGAGCCATGAGCTTCATCTGGGTCTCCCACATGGGTGTAGGGGCCTAAACACCCGAGTCTGTTTTCCCAAGCACCTTAGCAGGGAGATGGATTGGAAGTGGAGCAGCTGGGACTCGAACTGGCACCCATATGGGTTGCCAGGCTGAAGGTGCTAGCTTTAGCTGCTATGCCACAGCGCCAGCCCCGATATAGTTCTTAAACTTTTTAATTTATTTTCATTGTAGTTGAAAGACAGACACAGGTGGAGGGGGATCTTCCATTTACTGGTTCATTCGCCAACACCTGCAATGTCCAGGGCTGGGCCAGGCTGAAATCAGGAGCCTGGAACTCAGTCTGGGTCTCCCACGTGGGCAGCAGGGACCCAGGTACTTGAGCCATCATCTGCCACCTCCCCAGTGGGCATTAACAGGAAGCTGCATTGGAAGCAGAGTTGCTGGGACTGGAACCAGGCACTCTAATATGGCTGTACCAAATGCCCACCCATACTTTTACATTTTTATGGACAGGTTGTCAGGAATGGATATATTGGGCCATAGGGTATGCATAATTTTGGAAAGCTACTACCAAATTGACCTCTAAAATTAGCCAATTTGGGGGCAATGTTGTGGCACAGTCAGTTAAGCCACCTCCTGCAATTCTAGCATCCCATATGGGTGCTGGTTCTAGTCCCTGCTGCTCCAGTTCTGATCCAGCTAGTGCATCTGGGAAAGCAGCGGAAGATGGCCCAAGTGCATGGTCCTCTGCCACCCACCTGGGAGACCCAGATGGAATTCTTGGCTCCTGGCTTTGGCCTTCGCTGAGCCTTGGCCATTGCGGCCTTCTGGGGAGTGAATCAGCAGGTGGGAGATGGATCTCTGAGTTTCACTTCATCCCTCTCTCTCTCTCTCTTTCTGTAACTCTACCTTTCAAATAAATAAATAAATCTTCAAAAATTAATCAACCTGTATTTTAACATTACATACAAATGACCTTTCCACACACCCTCCCACAAACATTGGTTAGCAAGTTTTTATATTTTTGCCTGGAGAATACGCATTGTATTTTTTAGTTTAATTTGTTAGTCATTAATGAGGTTCAGCTTCCTTTTGTGTGGCTCTTAGCTGCTGCAGTTCTTTTGTGAATTGTCTGTGTGTTCACAGCTCAGTGACCTGTGATGGGTTGTCCTTACCTAGTGACTTTTAGGAGCAGTTTATGCAGCACTCATGGTAGTCCATCGTCTATCATAGATGTAGCAAGCCTTTTCTTTCAGGCTGATACTTTGTAGTGCAAAAATGGAATGACGGGGGGGCCAGTGCTGTCGCGCAGTGTGATCAGCACTGTGACATAGCAGGTAAAGTTAGTGCCTGCAGTGCTGGCATCGCATGTGGGCGCCAGTTAGAGTCTCAGCTGTTCCACTTCTGATCCAGCTCCCTGCTACTGAGCCTGGGAAAGCAGCAGAGGATGGCCCAAGTGCTTGGGCCACTGCACCCACCTGGGAGACCCAAGAGTTTCAGGTTCCTGGCTTCTTCCTGGCCCAGTCCTGGCTTTTGTGGCCATTTGGGGAGTGAACCAGTAGATGGACAATCTCTCTCTCTCCTCTGTCTCCCCCTCTCTCTATAACTCTCTCTATAATTTCAAATAAATAAATACATCTTTGAAAAAAAAAAAAAACGGAATGATTTCAGGGCCGGCACCATGGCGCAATAGGTTAATCCTCCGCCTGTGGCGCCGGCATCCCATATGGGCGCTGGTTCTAGTCCTGGCTGCTCCTCTTCCCATCCAGCTCTCTGCTGTGGCCTGGGAAGGCAGTGGAGGATGGCTCAAGTGCTTGGGCCCTGCACCCGCATGGGAGACCAGGAGGAAGCACCTGGCTCCTGGCTTTGGATCAGCACAGCTCTGACCGTTGTGGCCATTTGGGGAGTGAGCCAACGGAGGGAAGACCTTTCTCTCTGTCTCTCCCTCTCACTGTCTGTAACTCTACCTCTCAAATAAATAAATAAAATCTTTAAAAAAAAAATGGAATGAATTCATGAATTTAGATCTGTTGCTATTTTTCTTTCTGGGTCCTTGGTTTTGTATCTTGTCTGGGAAGACTCAGTCAAGGTTGTCTAACATTCCAGCGCCTCAATTTCCTCATCCCTGACATGGGGGAGAAGTTAGGATTCCGTGACTATGAACTTGTGTGGCCTGCTGCTGGGCAAGTGGCAGGCCTGTTGGGTTGCTGCCGTGTGCCAGCCGTTGTGTCCTGTGCAGAGCAGGTGTGGATTCTGTCTTCCTTCAAGGAGGACAGCCGGTTGCTACTGAAGACCACTTAAAACATTCCCAGTGTTCATTTGTGGGGGAATTCCATTGTTACCCCTCAAGTCATTGTGTTTAGAAATAACTCGTGCTATTTTCTCAGCGCTTTTGCTTATTTTCAACAGGATTTTGTTTGTTTTTCACAAAAATGGTCACTTGAGCTGTAAGGCAAAAGTGCAGCCCCCACGGCTGAATGGGGCGAAGACTGGGGTTTTCTCCACCAGGAGCCCGCATCGTCCCAACGCGATTGGACTGACGCTGGCCAAGCTGGACAAGGTGGAAGGTAACCATTTCCTTTCTATTTTTACTTTTCTTTGAATTCTCTACCCCAAAGTCTGATAAACTCGACATAGCATTCACCAGGGCTGTTACTTAGCCAAGCACCCGCCGGTGCCGGTTACTTCTGAGAACCGCCAGACGCCGAGGAAAATAGAACGATTGGAGGAGTGTTTGCGGGAAAGCACTTCGAGCTCTCAGAGGGTGCTAGAGCTTGTGTATCCCATTGCGTGTATGGAAAGCTATTGTTATTTAAATAACTCCCAGATTGTAGAATCATTGAGCTGGAAACTGAATTGTCTCTGGCTTGGGATGCAGCAAATGTAAAATGATTAAGAAATACTCAGACACTTGAAAGGTGGCATCCATGTGTCCGTGGTGAGTGCATGGAGTGGTGGAGCCTCGCTTCTCCTTGCAGGCTTGAGGAACCAGGGGCCAGCCAGCAGCTGTGCTGCGAGCAGGGCTCTGGGACGGGTGATCTAAAGGATCAAACGTGTTGTCAGACCCTGAGTAGCCGAGAGGAATACCGTACGGGCTGTCACTGTGTGTCCACGTATGACCCAGTGACACCGTTTCAGAAAGCTTTCCATTCTTGGCTCACTCTCACCCAGTAAGTCCATTTGATAGAGAGGCAGAAGGCGAGACAGCAGATAGATCGGGAGTCAGGGCGCCACGCCAGGCTTCGGCTTGATGGTTTGTAGAGGGTCAAAGGACAATGACCTGCTCTCTGTGGCTGCAAGGGACTGGTTTTTGTGGATATATATATATTTAAAGATTTGTTGATTTTATTTGAAAATCAGAGTTACAGAGAGGAGCACACACACACACACAGCAAGCTTCTGTCCTTGTTGGTTCACTCCCCAGATGGCTGTAATGGCCAGCACTTGGGTCATCTGCATTTCCCAGGCCATTATCAGGGAGCTGGGTTGGAAGTGGAACAGCCAGGACTGGCTCCCATATGGGATGCCAGTGTCATAGGCAACAGCTTTACCCACTATGCTGCAATGCTGGCCCCTCATTTATATATAAATATATATGTATATGTATATATGTATATGTATATATATAACTTATTTGTTTATTTGAAAGGCAGAATTACAGAGAGGCAGAGAGAGAGAGAGAGAGAGAGAGAAAGAGAGAGAGAAGTCTTCCATCTGCTGGTTCACTCCCTAAATGGGCACAATGGCCAGAGCTGGGCTCTTTCGAAGTCAGCAGCTTCTTCTGGGTCTCCCACATGGGTGTAGGGGCCCAGGAACTTGGGCCATCTTCTGCTGCTTTCCCAGGCTGTAGCAGAGAGCTAGGTTAGAAGTGGAGCAGCTGAGAGAGCTGGATTGGAAATGGAGCAGCTGGGATGCTGGCACTGCAGGCAGCGGCTTTACCAGCAATGCCAGAGTGCCGACCTCTATATATATATTTAAATATGTTAGTTATTTTTTATTTGAAAGGCAGAGTTACAGAGAGAGCCATCTTCACTTCCCAAATGGCTGCAACAGCTGGGGCTGGGCCAGGCTGAAGCCAGGAGCCAGGGGCTCCATCTGGATCTTCCACGTGGATGGCAGGGGCCCAAGTATTGAGACCATCTTCTGCTGCTTACCCAGGCCATTAGCAGTGAGCTCAATCAAAAGTGGAGCAGCTGGGACTCCATAGGATATTGGCATCACGGGTGTGGCTTACCCAGCTGCTCTACAACTCCGGCCCCTTTTTGAGGCTCTTAAGAGACAAAGTCTCTAAGAGTGCTGTTCAGGCCATTGGGCACTAAATAGATGCAAATGGTTATTTTGTTTATTCTTCCCCAGAACTTGGACTCTTCCACCAGATTGTACACAGCTGAGTAGATTTTAGGTAGGTTTTCCAGTAAAAATCATTAGCCACCCCATCTTGAGTTTTATTGATTTGTGATGATGTAACAATTTGGATTGCAGTGCTGTTTATGATCATGCAGCCCACGCCTGTTTCCTTTTACTGAGTTTGTACCAGGCATTGTGCTCTATGCTGGAGATAGGAGTGTCAACAAGTCAGATAAAAATCTGTGTTCTTGGGCAGGTGTTTAGCTTAGGGGTTGATGCCAGCATCCCACATGAAGGTGCTCGGGTCCAGTTTGTGGCTCTAGCTCCTGACTCCGGCCTCCTACCAATACAGACCCTGGCTCAAGGTACTGGACCCTTATCCCTCTTGAAGGAGACCTGGATTGTGGTTTTGGCTTCCAGCTTAACCCAGAGCTGTTGTGGGCATTTGGGGAGTGAACCAGTAGATGGGGGCACTCCCTAGTCTGTCTCTCCCCCTCCCTCTGCCTCTCAAATAAGTAAATTAAAAAGAAAAATGGTGTGCTAAAGGCTTGAAATACATATGGGAGAGGTTAAAGGGCAAACCTAACAGCACTGTAGATGCGATTGCCCTGTAAGCCCTACAGCATGAGCAGGTGCCTGTGTGGTGCTTGGCCATCGGTAAAGAGTGTTCCTGGGCATCATCTCACAGAGGCCCTGGGGGTCCAAGAGAGTAGCAAAGGCCTTTCATGGATGAGCGAGCTGAGGCTCTTTGACACTGAATAACTCGCCTGGTAGCTTCCAGCCAGGCGGCTGTCTGACTCCGGATCCCACGAACTCCTTGTTGTTGTAGTTTTGTCTTGTGGCGGGTGTCAGGAAGCTGACAGGCCTCCAGTGTGCAACCTCTCTTCTAGATGTTTCCCTCATACAAACTCTCCTGCTCTGACTTAGCTGCATGCAGCATGCAGAGACAGCAGCAGTTACCAGAGGCAAAGGATCATCGGAGAGTCCCTGGGGTTGCACGGCCCGAGGTGGAAGCCAGCGCCCCGTGACTATAGCCGCTCTAGCTGGGTGCCCCACGGCTTCCTTAGGGCCTGGCCTGACCTCTTCTCTTCTATTAAAATAGAATAAAAATGGGATGGTCACTGTTTCCTCTTCCAATTCTGGGCAATCTCTCTAATTCTTTTTGCTATTCTAAGGAAGAGTTTAATTTAGCAGGTTTGTAATTCACAACCTAGCTCACTCCTTTTAGAAAAAGAACTTGTGTCTTCACTCTCAAGCTGGTCAGCTGGTTTTTCGAAAGCTGCTGTCTCCCCTGGTGTACAATCTAAAATGACATTCAGAGAGGTTAAGGTGATGGAGCTGGTGTTGTGGCATAGTGGGTAAAGCTGCTGCCAGCATCCCATACGGGTGCTGCTTTGTGTCCTGGCTGCTCCACTTCCAACCTAGCTCCCTGCTAATGTACCTGAGAAAGCAGAAGATGGCCCAAGTGCCTGGGCCCCTCCCACTCAGCTTGGAGACCTGGAAGAATCTCCTGGCTCCTGACTTCAGCCTGGCCCAGCCCTGACCATTACTGTCATCTGGGGAATGAACCAGCAGATGGAGGATCAAATCAAATCAAATAAATCTTAAAAAAAGGAAAGAAAGAAAAAGAGATGAGGGTGAAAAAAAGATCAAAAAAGGAATAACTGTTCTATTGGGTCATTGGCCAGGGAACAAGGCAACAGTCCATTATAAATACTTTCAGAGGCAGAGAAGGGGGCAATGCCTCTCTTGCCATCATATCACAAAGGGTCATAGGCAGCACCCCTTAACAAAAGACAGGCTAAGAACCACAGCACATGAGTCATACAGAAAGTATGAGAGTCTGTGTGAATTCTTTCTCTATGCAGCAGTGTCTTTGTCCTGTAGCTGTTAGGTGTAATCCATCATTTAGAACGTGAAAAATGCTCTTTCCAAAGTTCCAGGCCATTCACAGTTCAGAACGTTTTAGAAACCAGGTTCTCGGCCGGCGCCGCGGCTCACTAGGCTAATCCTCCGCCTAGCGGCGCCGGCACACCGGGTTCTAGTCCCGGTCGGGGCGCCGGATTCTGTCCCGGTTGCCCCTCTTCCAGGCCAGCCCTCTGCTGTGGCCAGGGAGTGCAGTGGAGGATGGCCCAGGTGCTTGGGCCCTTGGGAGACCAGGAGAAGCACCTGGCTCCTGGCTCCTGCCATCGGATCAGCGCGGTGCGCCGGCCGCAGCGCGCCGTCCGTGGCGGCCATTGGAGGGTGAACCAACGGCAAAGGAAGACCTTTCTCTCTGTCTCTGTCTCTCTCACTGTCCACTCTGCCTGTCAAAATAAAAAAAAAAAAAAAAAAAGGTTCTCTCTCTCTTTTCTTTTTCGTTTTTCTTTTCTCTCCTTTTCTTTCTTTCTTTTTTTTTTTTTTTTTTTTAAAGATTTATTTATTTGTTTGAAAGGCGGAAATAGAAGGAGAGAAAGAGAGATCTTCCATATTCTGGTTCACTCCCCAAATGGCCACAATGACTGGGTCTGAGCTAGGCTTAAGCCGGGAGCCAGGAGCTTCCTCCAGGTCTCCCACATGGGTGCAGGGGCCCAAGCACTTGGGCCATCCTCCACTGCTTTTCCAGGCACATTAGCAGGGAGGTGAATCAGAAGTGGAACAGCCGGGACTTGAACTGGTGCCCATATGGGATGCTGACACTGCAGGCGTCAGCTTTACCTTCTTTGCCACAGCGCTGGCCCCTGAAACTGGGTTCTTTTAGCAATCATGTGTGGTTTTTTTAACTGGAGATGGAATAGAATGTGATCACTTGCAGTTTTTCAGCTCTGGTTTGACCGATTTCCCAGGGGTCAGGTTGGCAGACTCTGTTCCAGTAGCAGGAACCGACGGGCGGGACCATGGAGGACCCATCCTTGAGGTTTGCTGACGGTCACTTACATGCTACAGAAGTGTTGCATCTCAGTGGATAGGATTTCTTCTGTTGCCATGTAACCGACTCCCAAACACATAGCAGTTTAAGCTGTACCTGGGTACGATGTGCGTGGAGCACTGGGATATTTCTTGGCCGAACTGACTTCCCTGGAGTTGCAGCGCCGAGGCCCCAGCCTCCCACCAGTTGCTGGCTGGTGGCCACCTCAGCCCCCCAGGGCCGCTTGCGGTTCTGCTGCACGGGCCATCCTGGCGTGCCTGCTTTCTTCATCCAGTGCAGGGAGCGGCTCTCGAGCGAGGCACCAGCAAGCAGGGGCCTTTCATAGCTGAACAGGATCCGAGAGGGCAGCACACTTTGCCGCCCAGTTTCTGTTGGCTAGAAGCAAGTCTTGCTCAAGAGGATGGGTCGTCTGAGGGCAGGGATACCAGGAGGATGGGATCACGGGGGCCGCCTTAGAGGCTGTGCCTTGGCAGAGCCTCTCCTTGGTCCCATGCCTGGGAGAGCTGGAACGCCAGCCCCCACCCCCTGGTCCAGTCCTGCTCACTGTTGAGGACAGAGGCTCCAGGCAGACCCTGGCCAAGCCCCGTGGCTCCTGTGAGCCCACAGGAAGGAAGAGCCTGACAGGCTTTGTTGAGGAGGTGTCACGTGACAGCCTGGAGGCGCAGGTGAGCGTCTGGCAGGTAAAGGAGGGGCTGACAGGTGGGTGTCCAGGCAGAGAGAGAGCTGTGTGTGGGCACTAGGTGAAGAGCCTGGTGCAGAAGAGAAATGGGAGTCAACCCAGTGCAGTATCCAGACAGAGGTGGAGACAGGATTCTGGAGTATAATTGTGTTTTCCAGCGCTTTGCCCTTTCCCTCATAAGTCTTTTTTTTTTTTAATTCACATTCCAGGTGGAGCTGTATACCTTTCTGGAATTGACATGATACATGGCACACCGGTCCTAGACATAAAGCCCTACATAGCTGATTATGACTCGCCAGAAAATTTGATAGCACCTTTAGAGGACTGTGAGTCACAGAATGACCAGCGTGCACCAGAGCCCACGTCCCAGGCTGGTGGCGAGACTGACAGCTGCACCAGGGGGCAGCTCCCAGCATGCGAGGACCCGCGGCCCTGCCAGAGCACTGAGGAGAAACCCAAATGTCCTGGCTATAGGACATCAGGAGCAAACCTCCTGGAACCCAGTGACCCAGCAAGGCACACGGACCTGGCAGGGAGCTTGGGGCTGGAGTCGGGGGGTGACCAGAGTGCGAGTGTGGCAGAGGCACAGAGTGGCTCCCGGGGCCTGAGGAAGGACTTCGCAGAGGACGGAGCAGAGCCAGGGCTAAGGAGAGCTGAAGGAGCTGCATTCCTGCAGGGAGGCAGTGCGGAGGCACGGACCAGGGCTGCTTCCTGCCCAGCCGGGACTGCTGCTGGAGCCCCCCGCGGCAGCGTGGTCCCTGCCTGGGTGCGAGAGGCCCCCGCGGCCACTTTACACGTCCGGTTTACTCCTCACGCAGAGAAGGATCTCGCGCAGCTCGGCTCAGGAGGCGAGCCAGGTACCCTCACTTCTTAGCTTTCATTGTGAGACGTAGTGGCTGTGTGCAGTGTTCGTCAGGATGACTGGTTTTTAAAAAATAATTTGGGAGGCAGAGATAGAGAGACAGAGCTCCCATTCATTGGTTCATTCCCCAAATGCCTGTGATGGCTAAGTCTGGGCTGGGGCCAAAACAAGGAGCTGGGAATTCAATCTAGGTCTCCCACGAGGGCGGCAGGGACTCAGTTTCTTGAGCCAGCACTGGCTGTCTCCCAGGGTCTGCACTGGCAGAACACTGGCATTGGGAGTCTGAGCAAGGTGCCTAACCCAGGCGCTCGGATGTAGCATGTAGCATGTAGCATGTAGGTGTCTTAACTGCTAGGCCAAAAGCCCACCCCAGTGCAACTAGTGTTCAAGAAACATACGAGCATAAAGTATCCAGGCAACAACATCATACAACAGCTTTAATTTGGTGAATTCAACAACTGGTCGGAATTGTTGGCCGAGGATGGCTGCTGCCTCCCAAGCTCCTTGTGCCTGTTAGAGTAGTTCTTGGCGTTTTCAAAGAGCATTAGGAAGGAGTTGTCAGGTGTGCTGTGTGTATGGGCTTTCTGCTATGTTTTACCGTCTGACCGCAGAGGTTGCCTTTCATTCTGACACTCAGCCAGCTGACAGCTCAGGCTGTGGCACAGAGGAAGAGTCACTTAGTAGGACTTGCCCCACAAAGTCCCTGCCCTTGAGACACGCATGTTTCTGTAGATGAGAGGCTGTGGGGCTCTTAGGTGGCGGCTGTACACTCACACTTGGCTCTAACCGAGCGTTAGCTGGTTTCCACAGTCCACGGCAGATCCCACGTGGCAGCCCGGAGTGAAGGAAGGGGCTGTTAAGAGGTGGGCTGGTGGTGCCTGTAAGAAGTACCCAGTTGGACGAGATGTCAGATTCAGGAAGGGGACAAGCTGTTCTTTTGTGTTACACTCAGGAGCGACTGTAGCCTTCAGAAGAGGGAATTTTGTTCATTTTTTTTATTTTTAAGATCTATTTATTTATTTGAAAGGCAGAAGCATAGAGGAGAGAGAGAGAGAGGGAGAGAGAGAGAGATTGATTTTTTTTTTTTTTTTTTGACAGGCAGAGTGGACAATGAGAGAGAGAGAGTCAGAAAGGTCTTTCTTTGCCATTGGTTCACCCTCCAATGGCCGCCGCGGCCGGCACACCGCACTGATCCGAAGCCAGGAGCCAGGTGCTTCTCCTGGTCTCCCATGGGGTGCAGGGCCCAAGCACTTGGGCCATCCTCCACTGCACTCCCTGGCCACAGCAGAGAGCTGGCCTGGAAGAGGGGCAACCAGGACAGAATCTGGCGTCCTGACGGAGACTAGAACCCGGTGTGCCGGTGCCGCAGGTGGAGGATTAGCCTAGTGAGCCACGGCGCCGGCCAAGAGATTGATTGATTTTCCATCCACTGGTTCACTTCCCAAATGGCCGCAATAGCCAGGGCTGGATCAGGTCAAAGCCAGGAGCCAGGAGCTTCTTCCGGGTCTCCCATGTGGGTGCCCAAGCACTTCATCCTCTGCTGCCTTCCCAGGTGCATTAGCAGGGAACTGGATTGGAATTGGAGCAGCCAGACTTGAACCGGCGCCCATATGGGATGCTACTGGCACTGCAGGCAGAGGCTTAACTTACTACACCACAGTGCTGGCCCTCTTGTTCATTCATTCTCCGAGAGTACACTGAGCTTTTCTAGGCCCTTGGGATATATCACTGAGCAAAAGAGATAAAAAACAAACAAAAAAAATCCCTGCCCTCAAGAGCTTGTATTCTGTTGGGGCAGAGAGAGACAAACTAAAAGCTGGTAAGTAAGTGAATTACTGTACAAACCATACAGAACCACTGTGTATCACGTTGGCAGGTTCTGAGGGCCGTGAGGAAAAGAGGAAAAGAGAATATGGCGGACTTGAGGAGTTGCAGTTTCACATATGTGGCCAGGGTGGGAGTCATTGAGAAGCCATCTGAGATCAGAGGCAAAGGAAGTGAGGCTGGCCCAGCCAGCTCAGGGAAGCGGCAGCCTGAGGACAGCCAGTGCGTGGCCCCGTGGGGAGTGTGCGATCAGGTGAGCGGAGTGGAACAAGGGCAGAGTGCTGGAGCTGAGGTCACAGGCTCTAGGGAGAGCATGAGGTCACAGAAATTTTTTTGAATTAAATTTGAGAGGCAAAGACAGAGTGTGCTCCCCTATCTACTGGTTCATTCCCCAAACGCCTGTGATGGGCAGGGCCAGGGCCAAGCCAGGAGTTGGGAATGTAATGTAGATCTCCCATGTGGGCGGCAGGGACCGCAGCCTCCCAGGGTCTGCATTGGCAGGAGCTGGAGCTGGGTGGGAGACCAGCCCCGGCACTCGGATGTGGGGTGTTTGCCTCTTAACCACTGGGTTAGATGCCTGCCCGTCACGGAGAGGGCCTCGGGAAAGACCCGCGTTTCCATCTTGGGAGAAGTGGGAGGCGGAAGGACTTGATCTCAGTATCCCCAGGGAGCAGGAGGCTGTGTCCAGGTCAGAGGGCCGCCCAGAGGTGGCCGCAGGTGACTTCTGGACGTCACACCCCAGCAGCATGCAGGCCTTGTTCAGACAGTGAAGGCTTTCGCTCTTTCCAGAAAATACAGAGCTAAGCAGCCACAGACAGAGGGTCTCAGCCTGTCCCAGACAGGGGGAGAATGAAGAAGACAGGAAGGGGTTTGGCATTTAACACCTCAACCTGAAGGGAATCCTCCTGGTGGGAAGATGTTGGGGCAAGACACAGCCACAAGTATCCTGGAGCGTTCCCTGCTCTGCCTGTCGGGGCTGCAGCCAACCCACATGGCTGCCTCTGCAGCCCCTCCTGTGGGTGGAGGCACGTGGTAGGCCAGCGTGCCCCGCAGCACCTGTACCTGCGGCTGGGGCAGCTCCATGAAGGTGTGCTGCTCAAGTCTTGGGCTGCTGCTGCTTCTTTTTTTTTAAAAAAAGGTTTATTTATTTATTTGAAAGGTAGAGTTACAGAGAGGCAGAGAGATCTTCATCCACTGGTTCATTGTCCAAATGGCCTCAACAGCCGGAGCAATGCCGATCTGGAGCCAGAAGCCAGCAGCTTCTTCCGGGTCTCCCATGTGGGTGCAGGGGCCCAAGGACTTGGGCCATCCTCTGCTGCTTTCCTGGGCCATAGCAGAGAGCTGGTTTGGAAGTGGAGCAGCTGGGACTCAAACTGGCACCCACATTGGATGGAGGCACTGCAGGTGGCAGCTTTATCCACTACGTCACAGCACTGGCCCCCCACAGTTACTTTTTTTTTTTTTTAAGATTTATTTATTTATTTGAAAGTCAGAGTTACACAGAGAGAGAAGGAGAAGCAGAGAGAGAGAGAGAGAGAGAGAGGTCTTCCATTCGCTGATTCACTCCCCAGTTGGCTGATCTGAAGCCAGGAGCTTGGAGCTTCTTCCAGGTCTCCCATGTGGGTGCAGGGGCCCAAGCACTTGGGCCATCTTCAGCTGCTTTCCCAGGCCATAGCAGAGAGCTGGATCAGAAGTGGAGCAGCTGGGACTCGAACTGGCACCCATATGGGATGCCGGCTTTACCTGCTATGCCACAGCTCTGGCCCCTAGGCTTCTCATTCTTTCCTGAGGCTTTCTTTGTAAACAGAGCCTCTGATTTTAATGTGGGTCTCTTTGTTTTGAGAGTTTTGTTGACAGAGGTCTTTGCATCACTGTGTACAGTTGGTGGGAGGAGTCAGGCCACTGTGGAAGGCTAGCGTCAGAACATGGGAGTGCTGCCTTGTCTGCCCTTGACATCCACACTCGGTCCCTGCTACCCACATGGAGAAGTGGCATCTTGGACTACAACACAGCGTGTCTGAGGTGCTTCAGATATGCTGCACTGGTTTAAAACTGGTAGAGGGGCCGGCACTGTGGTGCAGTGGGTTAACGTCCTGGCCTGAAGCACCGGCATCCCATGTGGGCGCCGGTTCGAGTCCCGGCTGCTCCTCTTCCAAACCAGCTCTCTGCTGTTGCCTGGGAAAGCAGTAGAAGATGGCCCAAGTCTTGGATCCCTGTACCCGTGTGGGAGACCTGGAAGAAGCTCCTGGCTCCTGGCTTTGGATCAGCTCAGCTCTGGCCGTTGCGGTCGTTGGGGGAGTAAACCAGCGGAATGGAAGACCTCTCTCTCTCTGGCTCTACCTCTCTCTCTGTAACTCTGTCTTTCAAAGAAATAAAAAATAATTCTTTAAAAAAAAAACTGGCAGAAAGGAGCAGTTGTGCAATGCAGTTATAAAACAGGGACTGATTGAGAGCAAAGAGCAGGATGGAGACCTGTAGGGAACTGGAAGATGACTTACAGAAGCTCAGAACCTAGAGGAGGAGAAAGACATTGACGTGGGAGGGAATTGGTGCTACTGTGGCAGCCTGGGCAAGTGCTATGGACACAGAGGGGGTTCTGACTCGGGGTGGGGAGGAAATGTGGTGAGGCTTCCTGGAGGAAATGGCATTTCAGCTGAATCTGGAAAGATTCTGTTGTAATTATTAATAATGAGGTCATAGTTACTTTTTTTAAAAAGATTTATTTATTTATTTGAAAGTTGAAGTTACACAGAGGCAGAGGCAGAGAGAGAGAGGTTTTCCATCTGCTGGTCCACTCCCCAAATGGCTGTAATGGCTGGAGCTGGGCCAATCCAAAGCCAGGAGCCAGGAGATTCTTCTGCGTGTCCTATGTGGGCGCAGGGGCCCAAGCACTTGGGCCATCTTCTGCTGCTCTCCCAGGCCATAGCAGAGAGCTGGATCAGAAGTGGAGCAGCCGGGACTCCAACCAGCACCCCTGTGGGATGCCAGCACTGCAGGAGGCAGCTTTACCTGCTATGCCACAGCACCGGTCTCCCCACAGTTACTTTTAAAGTTTAGTACATACTGGTTTTTAAAACAAATTACAGTAGATTAGGAGTGGTATTTCTTGAAATGCACACCTGGGTTGAACCCCATGGCTGTCTCCCCAGTGATGACACTGGGCATGCTCAG